AAAAAAAAAACTAAATAAATTTATTTCTTATTCATTGAACTGTCAAATAAAAAATTTCTCTTTGTTTCGCGCAATAAATTATTAGCCAATTTTATTCCATAAAATATTATATAAATGGATTTCTATCATCGGCGTTACAAATAAATTTATTAATTTAGTTTGTGATGAACGAATTAATTTTGTTTAAAAAAATGAGAAATTGTAAGTAATTGTTAGTAGCAAATATAGTAAGTAAGAAAAAGGCAATTTGCCGATCGACAAATCTTTTTCGCTTTCCAATAATATTCGCAAGAACAGAAAAGAAAAAAAAAAATTTCCTTATCATAAATGAATCTTCCTGCAATTAACATTTCTTAAAAAAAAAAATTTTTATTAATATTATTTTTATAATTTAAAATAATTAAACGAGAATTTTTCTAAAAATTCTATGCTAAAAATTGAAATTTTCCAAACATTTTTTCTTTCTTTCGTTTTTTTTTCCTTTTAAGGAATGTATTTCATTTTTCTTCAAATAAAAATTATCGGTGAAACGAGAAATTTATCGCTGTATACATTTGAAAAAAAAAGAGTACGGGAAATATTTCTCATTTATATTTTAAAATCAGTTCAATTATAGTCTAAAATTTCTATTTTCCAAATAACTTTCTGAAAGGACGAAAGATTCAGAAGAAAGACTCTTCTAACAATTCGTGAAATCAACTCAAACAGAGATTGTGTATAGCCTTACAAGAAAAAAAAGAAAATTTTATGACATAAGAAAAAAAAACTTTTGATAATCATCGTAACAATAATGTAATTTGTTACAAACAACATATAATAACAATAAACCATATCGAATACCATATAAATTCTTAGTTCAAATGCAAAAAGTACGATGTAAACATTTTGACTTAAAGCCAGAAATTATTTCATTTTCTGATCAATACTAAGGAAAATTCTAACGCAAGTTATCGCATTCTCTTATCGACTGTGCAAGGATTTCTACAATCAATTTTCTAACTTTAAAAACTGCTTTTCTAACTATCTTTTATATACCACCACTTATTTGCGGAACGAGTTGCTAGAATTCTCCTAGATTTTAGGTGATTTCAAGAAAAATCTACAAAAAATCATTTAAAATTAGTAACCATTAATAATTCAAAATTGACAAGATTTTTTAAAAAATTATAAAAATGAGGTAAATCATTATACACACCTGATACTTTAACAAGAAGTGGAAAAAATCAAACTGGCAAAAAAGAAAAAGCATCTCTAATTTGGTCATAATGAAAAGGCGGCTGCTGATCGCGACCCCTATAAAAATAGACTATTTATTTTTTTTGCGAGAAACAGAACAATAAAATTATAAACTCCGTATTATTCCTATATAATTTATAAAAAAAAGATAATTTTAAAAGATTAAAACAGTAGTAATCATTGCATCTGAAATAGTTTCCCTTACTTTCAATGAATTTTAAATTTCAGATTTAATTCGCAAAATCTAAAATTTTCTGATAGTGATTATAGTAACAATATAAAATTTATGATTTATCATAAAGATACGAAAAACAAACATAAAAAAACAATAAAAGTAAAGTAAAACCTTGCTAGTCTCGTAAAAAGATATTCTCTTTGACGCTGACTTGAAGTTCGACAAGATATAAGCTCCATGAGTGCATCAAAACGAGTTAGTAGGAAAACCAACTGCGAATGGAAAATTCTTTTTGGATCATTGCATTGAATATATGATGAATAATTACAATTCACCTCGCACTCCAAATGCTATAGAATTTACAATGATTACACTGAATTAAAAATTATATATTATAAAAAATTTAAAAAATTACAAAAAGAGCTTACCTTAAGAAAATAAGCATTTTGAGTTAAAGAAGTGATTCCATCTTGATGTAATTCTAAGATAAACAATGGAACTGAGCTGGGATAAGTAGCGTTAACCTATAAAATGACACATGAAATTCCTTAACACAAATTTTTTTTCACTTTTTTTATGCAAAATATCTCCAAGGCTATCGACATCGGACTCAAGGAATGAAGATTTAATTCTGACAGCAAAGAAAAAGTTACGGTGAATGAAGTGCCTCTAATACTTCAAAAAATAAAAAAACTTACAAAAACAAATGCATTAAGTTTAATTTCAACAGATCGTTCTATTGTTGCCATAAAATAGAAATGATTTTCACGATCTGACTCGCATTCAGATTCAATAAGTTCTTCATATTTTTTTGAAATGGCTGTGCTGGTCTAAATTTGTTTCTCTAAGAAAAATTCTATAATGTCAGCGAATGGAACTTGATTAAATCATTGAACTACAGAATAAAATTAGATTTTTAAAAGATTATTTGAATTATTGCAAATAAAAAGATATACTGCAAATTCAATGAAACCGAATAAAGCAAAAAACATACGAAAAATTGTTCACAAGAAATTAATCGGAAATTGGTGAGCCTTGATATCACTTTTGATGGAAAAAGACTCCTCTTGTTAGGCAAAATTTCTTCAATCAGATCTGCTGAATCGGTATTTTCTGGAATCAAATTTTTAGACAAATATTTACTCAAGATAGAAGGATCTGAATCATTTAAAATTTGTCAATTGTAATCGTTGTAGTAATCTAATTCAGCCTTTGATAACCCACTGTCTCCAAGTTTTTTTGCAACGCACGAATTTTCAATAAATATTAATATTAATTAATAAATCGAAATAAGCACTCATAAATATTATTCCATTACAAAAGAAAACTGAAACGATTCACCAATCGTGTTAGAAGGATTAAAAAAGATCTAACTTTTACTTATAGAATTTTAATTATAAAATTTTGCATGGTCATTTTAAATTGAACTGCAATAAATTTTACAATCGCAACTTCAAATTAAATTTTATGAAATCTACTGGACTGAAATTATTGAAGGTTTTCTAAATTATCAAAGCCTGAATGAGAAGCCATAATTTTTTATTCGCACCACTTCTGGAATTACCAAAGAATCCGCACCTTCGATATAAGATATAAGATTCATATTAATAGCAGATTAACTAAAGATATAATTTCAGAAGTCTTATACTTATTGTGTTCACTATTGTCCTACCAGCACATAGCACACTGTCCTACCCAATCTTTATGTAAGTATGTAAAAACACATGTCAACCAAGTGAAGAAAAAAAACTCATACGCAAAAGATGAACGAGATTCAGCAAAGTGCTACGGGTATATACACGCGAACGCAGTGCTCCAATAACTTGATGAACAGTATCTAGAAGATTTGTTGCTTCATTATACTGAAGGCCAGCCATCCGTTGTGCGAATTCAAACATTCTTCCAAAAGTTTTCTGACATTCCGAGATTGATAAACTAAAAATTTTTAAAATATGCATCGAAATTTAATCGAAAACGATTAGACCATTACTTTTTTTGTTCAAGCATGATTTGACCAACAACATTCGGACAACGAATTCCATCATCACCAGGAAACAATTCAATTAGCAATGTTTCATCGCTTAGTATGTTACTGAAAATTTTTAGTTCTTAGAGGAAAGAAAAATTTTCAATTTTGTAAAATTTTTGTAGTCGAACAGAATAAATAATTTTGGAAAAACCTAAATTTCACAAATCTATTATTAAAAGGAATAAAATAAAATTTGACGGCATCACCCATATTGAGGAACAGGCGGCAAACATAATTTTGCTTTGACACCAATACACCGTAAATCCGGAATATATTGCAAAATAAGCGCAACAGAGTTGACGACACATTCTGAAAATTGTTCCTTTGAATTATATTTAAATTACATTGAATTATAAAAAAATATATTCAAATAAAAATTTAACCATGTAAAACAATTTAAGAAAAATTTTTACCGAATATTCTCATTCTCATTCTCACAAAAAAACCATTCTCATAAAATTTTTTTCAGTCAAACTACTGTCATTGTGAAATTTTATCGTATTATCGACAAATATATTTTAATAAAATTAAAATATATAGGAAATTAATAAAAAATTACCAACAAACATTTGGCATTTGAGCCACTTTCAGCTTTCCTAATGCCTTAGGAAAGATTAAGGAATTCGTAATAAAAGAAATTAATTCACCTGGACAAGTTATATTTATAATCAAGTGTATTGGATGAGCGAAAATCGAATTATTTTTCCTTATTGTTGCCTCATCTAACTCAATATCTCTCCGACGTTTCAAATCAGGTGATGGTGATCTACCAGTAGTTTGCTAAAAAGTGATAATAATAAATTCAGAAAAAAAACAATAAATTTGATAAAAATTTGATTAAAAGAATATATGTCACATCAGTAAATCGATTTTTTAAAAAATATTACTTCGAAATCATTTTTTTCTATATTAGTTTTTTCCAATTTTTTTGCAGAATCATCCATAAACTTAATAGCACTTTGAAGATCTCCACCGCATTGTACACTGATACCTTCTTCTACAAAATGAAAATTTGTTTATAATGTTTCAATAAAAACTTTTGAAACAAAAGTTCATATTATTATATTACTCCACTTTAAATAGTAAATGAGGGACTTTAAAGAGAAAATTTTTGGTAACATTTTTCGTAGCCCCTTTCCATCTTGAATTTCATAAATTGAAAGTGAAATATCCTTTTTTTAAATAAACGCTAAAATTGGCCTTAACTGGATGAATAAACATAATTTTATTATTTAAACATTAATTTAAAAATTTTTTCATCAAGAAATTATCGAAGATAGAATGAATATTGTGGAAGAGAATTTGCTTAATTGCAAAATATTTTGGTTTGACTGGCTTTACCCATTGATCTCCAAATTGAAAACCAAACGGAATTTGACAATAAAAAGACTAAAAAAAACTAAAATTTATTTTACAACTAATAAAAACATTCTGTACTCAAAGAATGATCAGAATTATCTTGAACTCTACTAAATTCTTTGATAATTACTCCCTATATTTGCTATAAAGTATCCTTTTCTTTCGTATCATTCACTGAATCCTTCACTGAATCATTTTTTATTATACAACCGAAAAATCCCACAATTCATGTTCAACATTCTCTAATAGATCTGGGTGAAGTTTAAAATAAAATGAATAATGGATGAATAAAAAAGAATGAAAAAAGCCAAGAAATGTTTCAAAGAGTTTATGCAGGTCCTCCAAGAAATATGGCAGCCTTTTACGATGTAATGCACTTTTAGGGAATATTGATAGGTTACTGGGTTAATAGAAGTGCTATTTTCTTAAAACAATTCATATTATATATACTTCGCTTTAAATAGCATGAGGGAATTTAAAGAGTTATCACCAATTTTTGGCAAAAGTTTTTTGATAACTTCGCAGAAAATAAGTATTTTTCTCTGATCCACAAAAAATTAATATGATCATTTCAATTAAATTTTAACCATAATATTGAACCTTTCATAATATCACACATCGCTTCAATTTGAACAGCTACTGCTGTCAATTCTCTGGGAAGAAAAGCGAACATTCGCTGCATTGCTCGACCAGCATTTGAAATCACTTTGAGTCCCATCAGATCTTGAACAGGCTTAATGGCCTAAAATAATGAATTCGATAAAATGAATTCTAACCATAAAAAAAATTTAATAATTTCAGATAAATATATTTGAATTTTATTTCATAAAGATAGATAATAGGTGGTGCCGGAAAGCCTATGATCAGCCAGTGCTATGCTTGCCTTAAGGTTTCTTTTTATATATGGGCTTAGGTGATAGAATTTCAAGCATAATATCGGATTAGGGTATTTAGAAATGTCTCATACTACTGTAACCAGCCAAGTCAGCTTTGATGCTACTGGAAGATGAATAATTGAAGGAAATTATAATTAATGATAATGGGAAATTTTGTTGTCAATTCATTCCAATGTTAAATTGCAAATTATTGTAAAATTGTTTTTCAAAAATTGTAAAAATAATATATAATAAATATTTTAATGAAAACATCTTTAAAAAAATGAAAATACCTCAATTATTGCTTCAACCTTTGGTTTGATTGACTTTATTCGATGTTCCTTAGTCATAATATCGGATAAAAGAACACCTTTTCGACCTTCTAATTCTTGCAATGTGCCCAAAAGACTTAAAAATTTCATTTAAAACGAAAAAATTCACTGAAAAAATCTCTCAAAGCCATTTTTTATTTTTCATTTTTATTTAATCAAAAGTGGAAAACTGATATATTTTCCGATGTAAACGAATAAGACAATTCTTTTTTTAATTAAATAATGAAAAAAATCGAAAATAAAATCAGATTCTCAGACTCATATACTTTTTACGTTCCATCATTTCCCACGTGAGACGCGCCAGACGCAATTCATGATAATTATTATCAGAAAAATTTTGACAACTTAATGATGAAGGTGCATTTGCATAGAATTCCTCTAAAGGCACCAAATCAATATTTTCATCTGCTGACCTGAAAAAAATCATAAATGAAATATTGATATTAAATCCATTTAAAAACTTATTTGTCACATCATCTTTTCACTTCTTTGAGCCTCTTAGGTTTATTTTGAAGTTCATCCCATAGTTTTTTCCCAAAGAATGTAAATGGTAAAGAAAAATTGCTGATGGCATAAGTTTACCTAAAATCGTAACAACGTTCCACTTCCTTTTGTAAATGTTCAATTTCGCTATTTATATTCTGTAACTGAAGAAAACATTCTTCAACAATCAGTCGTTCCCGATTAACCTCATCACGTATTATACGATTACGATATTGTGCAAATCTGTTCAAACGACGTAAAACAATAAAATGTCCAAGAACAGAGGTTAGATTATCGTAAGATTCGGTTGCCTGCAAACTTCTTAATTATTCTATTTTTTTAAAACTGGAATGAATTAAAAAAATTATTTTAGCTTTCAACAAATTAAGAAAATTTACAATACAAAAATATAATTTAATATAATAAAACAAAAAATTTATATCAAAAAATATATCAAATTTACTTTTTTCATATCCAATGCCTCTGATATAGACGCTCGAATTTTCTCGCACTCGTTAAAGAAAGCACTACCGATTTGTTGCAAACTCATCGTTGCTGCGGTTTTATCTTCACACTCGAAGAATTCCTTTAAAAAAATATTCAAAGAAAAAATATATACTTTATGTGAAGTTACACTTATCGATTAATTAATGAATAAATAAATACAAATATTTTTCATTTCTTTTTCTTTTAAAAATATAAATTTTGGCTTAATCCATTCCAACTACTAGCATGAGACACTTAAATGCACTATTTGCCAAATAAATCGCTTGAAAATAGAAATATGGATGGCTTGTCATTATACAATTTTCACGAAACTTCATGAAGCCAGAAGCGATACTTACCAACCAGTTCTACGCCAAACACCAATCTTTAACGAAGATAAAAACAACTTACAGATGCAGTAATAAATTTTGCACCATCGACTTTCATCCTTAAATTAGATTCCTCACTGCGGTGACGATCATTAATATGCTTCACACTTGGCATATCTGCAATTTTAAAAAAATTGCAATGAACTGAACTGAATATAAATTAATAAAAATAGGACGAATTTTGACGAAAATTCTTTGAAAAATTGTTGAAAATAATGTTTTATGTATATCTTTACAACCATAAAAAAAGCCGCTTTTTTTTAAGCATTTATTCAGATGAGTATTAAAAAAATAAGCAATAAAATAAGGCACAATTGAAAAGTCATCTAATTCATCTACAATGAAAAATAATTCATTTTATCATATCATTTAAATATCATATAAAACCTGAAAAATGATTAGGTCTGTTGTTGTTTTTAAAAAATTATCCAAGCAAAAGATCTTTCAGTATAAAAGTGGTCCTATTAAATAATAAATTACCACAGTCATATATTTTTTTATTATTAATTTATTAATTTTCGTTTGATGGAATAAATAAAATCTATTAGAAATCTATTAGAAGCCTAACTGAAATCGCCAAATTTAAGAGCCAATAAATTAAAATTAACGAATTCAATTCAAAAATTTCTATTAAATAAACCAAAAAATACAATTTCTAAAGAAATTACTCTATAATTAACGCATTAAAATTGGAAGTTAAAAAAAATACATGAATATAGTGATAAAATATATTAAGAATACAAAAATAAATTATAATTACAAAGAAATTATACAAAAAATTGAAGAAATAAATGAAAATAGATTAAATTTACAATGTAAATAAAAGGAAAAGCTTTAAAAAATCAGATTTATACATAATTAAAATATTCCCTGCCTTTCCAGTTACAAGCAAAAAATTTTTAAAAAATCAAAGGACATCCCAAAAAATTTAAAGTCACTAGAAGTCACGAAAATGTCAACCCAGTGCGCATAAAAATATTTGTAAATAAAAATAAAATAAATGTGCTATGTAACAAATGGCTGTATTGAAACTATAATGTAAGCACATACTAATTACCCGATATTCAACTCAATACCACGAATAAGGCGGTGATAAAAAGGAGCAATTATGATTTTTCGATGATTAGGAACGATTTATAACGCAATACTGGATAAACGACTAAAATAAGGCAAAAATGAGGAAGAGGAATATTTGAAGAGGAAATAAAATGAAATTATCGCAATTCCAAATAAAAAAATAAAATTCTTTTTCAAACCATATTACAAGCCTTCAAATATTTGTATACGTGACGTTGTCGATCCAGTAGCTCCCTTAAAAAAAAGCGATTTAGATATTTCTCAATCAAAATCGAGTAAAACATGATGTTAACTTCTATTGAGTATAATAGATCAAACCGAAACATTTATTTAAAAGAATGGAAAACCAAATTGTAAAACTATAAACTATAAAACAACATAAAATAACTTAAAATAAAACAAAATAATTGTAAAATAAAACAACAAAAGTAAAATGAATAAAGATATGGAAAATTAAAATAGAAATATAAATCAGAAACGTTATAAAATTTTTCTATAAAATTTTAAAATATATATTTATATATACCATAATTTGTTCGCAAAGAAGTAAGGAAGAGCAAATCGCTACAAGAATGGACGAAATCACTCAATCACTCTCATGCAATTACCTTAAAGTGTTGAAAATTGTTGATATGACCACGTGATAAGAAAAACTGTATTGAGAAGCAAGTTGTTCCGTTTTACTAAATTCTTAATATTTTGTATACACCATACTACTAATAAAATTTTTCTCTCTTAACGATTTGACGAGAAGCCATAAAAGCCAAAATGTTTGCCAAGGGTTGGTAAGGCTGGAAAAAAAATTGGAAAGAATTAGGAAAAAGTACTTTTCGAAGTGTAGAATATTTATCAATGCCCATTTGGATATTGGATGCGTGAATACGATCATGTTCACTTTGACGATCTTCTACTTTGAGACATTCGATTTCAGCGCGAAATTCATTCATCTTTTTTTTCAGATTATCCTTCTTTTCATTATACGAAGCTCTAAAAAAATCTTTTATTTATTTGTTCAAAACCAAGAAATTCATTTTATTCAAAAATTTTGCAATAAATTTTTTGGTTGTAAATCATTGAATTGAAATAATCCATTTCATAGCTTTGATTTCCATTGATGAGTAACAAAAAATCAAGCAAAAAAATTTTAAATACTTGATATAAATAAATATTATCCTTAGTAGAATATATAAATAACATTATTAGTCAGTAGTCAATTAAAATGGAAATAACATTTTTTACTTGAATGAAATAACGATTTACCTCGACTTCTCAATTTCCAACCTCAAAAGAGATAAATCTGATGGAACCAACTGATTATTCGTAGAAGGATCTGGTGGAGGAATATTAAGATAACCAGCGTTTTGAAACTGTAGCAACTGCATATTCATATCACTCTCGACACGATATATACCATTATCACTATCTGTTCGTTGATATCCACCATCTATACTATTTATTGAAGAATCCATAGGATGATGGCCCATATAATTACGAGAGTTTTGCATACCGTAAGGCATAAACCAACCCTTGACATTTCAAATATAAAAATATTAAAAACGATATATGCACAAAAAATAAAAAATGAAAATAAAAAACTTACTTGCGACCAATTTGTATCGCCAGGAAGGAATGAATTATGATACATACATAAATTCCGATGATCACTTTCTTGTAAAAGGCGATGCGCTACCAATTCCGCGTCTCGAGCCTTCCTTTCCAATGTAATCTTCGCTTCTTCAGCCTGAATGAGAATTTATAGAAAGTTATATAATTTCTATTACGGTTTTCAAAATTAAATTGCCGAATGATTTAATTTAAATGTTTTTCCATCCATAAACAAAAAAATCAGTATTAAAACTAGAGACAGTGAAAAAAGACGTACTTGAACTTGCGTAATTTTCATTCTTTGACATTCCGCTTCAGCCTCGCTTGCTCGTTTTGAAAGAATTAAAGCTTCTTCCTCGGACATTCGTGCTTTTTCCGCCAGCAGTTGAGCAGTTTCTTCAGTTTTTTTCATTGCTTCCTTAAATAATAACCAATAAATTCATTCTGCAACAAACAATTCCTGGAGTTTAGAAATGAAATATAAAAAATACCTGGATTTTACGTATCTGCTCATTAGCAGCGGTAATTTCGTTCTTATATCTATCTCTTTCAGCTTCGGCTTGCATTCGTTGTTCTCGTTCACGAGCCAAACGATTTTGTTCTTGCTACGAAATGAATTTTTGCCATTTAATTATATTTTGCTTACACATTTATATTTATTCGATATCAACTTATAAGCAATTTACAGCTAAGCATTAGAATAAATACCATTCTGCGTATTTTCTGTTGTTTGGCTTGCACTTTCATTTGCTGAACTTCAAGAAGATCGGGTTGTCGCCTTCGCAGATAAAGATTATGAGTACCGATACATAAATCTAATATACTCATATTAATTGACATGTCTTTTGCACGAAATGTTATCGTACTTTTATCCATTGTACGCATATTAAACTGAAAATCATTCCTTTCATTCTATTTCTTTCCTCTTGCTAACAATATGCGCCCTTATAAGATAAGGAATGGTAAATGATAAATTGTAGTTTTTTTTCTACTTTATGCATAATCGATAGCCAAAAAGTGGAATTTTAGAGAATAAGAATCTGGGTGAAATTTGGAACATTCAAATAATATCAAGAGCAAATAATATCGAGCGATATTTTATTCACTTAGGTGGGCAGTAAATGAATAAAACCTGCTTATTCTTAAGGCTTCAAGAATAGAACAGATTCGATCCCTCAAACTGCGCCAAAATTTGCGATGAAAATAGATGGAAAAAATGTTGTATTTTACCGTTTTATTTTTGAATGAGATATTTTTGATTTCACTCCATGAAAAAAATGGCCGAGGTGTAATACGGTTCGCATCTTTATAGATACCAATACCTTGGGCCGAAACGCCAAGAGTTAAATCTGATTCTTTTTTATTCTGAATATATTTCATAAATATATAGAAAAATTTTATATTAAATAGCAAAATGTAATTTTTTTTTTCCTTTCTTTCGAAATTAATAAAAACCAATAAATAATAAACCTACACAAATTGGATAATACTGAATTCCATACATCTCAAGGTCTTGTGCCACACGCAAATATTCCATTTCTGCATCTTCCCTAACAAGAAATTTAAATATTTTCATTAAAAAAATTTAAAAACTTTACTTTTAATCTAAAAATCTAAAAATTATTGACAAGAAAAATAAAATTTGTGAAATAAATTGAAAAGTAATCTGATAACAGAAAAACTAATAAAAAATTAACCTGCTCTGTCCGCTATTATTTATCCACCAACGACGAATGCGTTCTTCCCACATTAGAGCTGACATATCGTACTGTTTTATTACGCATTCTGGCAAAAGTTCACTCAGTTTTAATCGTGATTCTGGTGTACAGTCACCTTGCTGAAAACTTTTTCTTTTCTTTTTTTCTTTTCAAATTTTGTGATAATTTGGTGTATTATAATTTCTATTCTTAACATTAAAATAATGCAATATTTCGAACAAAATTAAGTAGAAACAACACAAGTCAGATTAGATTAAATCAGATTATGGTCCACAACTTTTCAAAATTAGGAGAAAGGCTAAATAAGCTGTATGCTATATGGTACTTGTGCCAGTAGACAAACTCCAGCCAGACAGACAATAATGGCACCATTTTATCCGAAATATTTCATATTTTATAAATTACGGATATTAAAACAAATACTGTTGTTCAATATAATCAGATGAGCAGAAAAATAATGAATGCATCTAATTTTCAGATTCAGAAGGCCCGCTTCATTTTTCCGGAAAGTTAACTGTCACTTAATCATTTGCAAATAATAGTCATTACTTTACATGGTGAATAAAACTTACAATTGCCTGAGCTGCATATGATGCGAGTAGAACAGCTGCTTCTGCTGAACAATATAATTGCATAGACAAAATGCTATGTTTAATTTGAAGAAAAAAAAGATGTCTGGTAATATCCTGAATAAGCTCCTCTTCCACATCTTCTGGATAGAACTTTACTAAAAATAAAAATAGAAGAGAACCATCTTCTTGCTTTGGTACTTCTTGCTTGCATATCTGAAATATAATTAATCGAATTATTTTTAGAAGCAAGCAGTCGATTTATTCTAAAAATTTATTCAATATGTTTTAAATGCACTTCAACCTTCTTCTCCATTTGTAACCAACAAGGAATGCCTTTCTTATTAACAAATTGCAAACCAAAAAACCAAATTTCTCGAAGACCAATTATTCTACAAACTGTATCGTATAACTGTCGTCCAGTCCAATCCGCCTTAAATTTTATAAATTTACTTTTAAATTATCAAAAAAAGATCTCTTAATGTATAAAAGATTTTTGCTTACAACTCATTAATAAAAATTAAAGGGCTTAAATTTTTTATTTGGCAATTAAAATTCTTATTCTGATGCTATCAAATTTATCTTTAAAATTATTAATAGAAAAAAGATTATGAATAAATAAATAAATATTAATAATATTATAAAATAATAATATAATTAATATAATATTATAATAATATAATATTAATGAATATTAATAAATTCGCATTTACTGAAAAACCACAAAATAAAATCACAACAAAAAGAATTTGGCATTATCAAATTATGAATCCACTGATAGATTAAAGGCTACTTACAAGGCATTTGACAAATTATAAATCTACCACCAAATTACGAATGGGCCACCAAATTGTGGCCAAATTATGAATGCACTAAGCACAGACGAGGTGCCAAATTATGGGTATTTTTGAGAAAAAAATAAAAAAACAAAAAAAATTTGCTAAATTTATAAAAAATAATTACTTACTTCGATCGCGATTCTCTCCAAATCAGCATCCATTGTGCTTACTTTTACAAAAATATTTTTGCCACCGCTTGATGGCGATAATGAAAATATTCCCATTATTTATCCGACGATTTTTCATAACATCAAACAATAATAAGTAAATATTTTCTAAATATTAAATCTTTAATATTAAAATATTAAAGATTATAATTGTAAAAAATAAAAACAAATTTTATTTAGCAATTTGATCCGTGCAAAACTTTTAACTTTAATTAAAAAACAACTAAAAAACGAAAACTCAAAATAAAAATTAAAATAAAACAAAAAAATTCAATAAAGAAGAAATAAATATTAAAAATGCAATAAAATAAAAAATGTTAAAATATTAAAAATAAAAAATTAAATTAAAAACTTAGTGCAAAAAAAATTGAAAACTTATTTTAAATTAAATTAAATTAAATTCGATTAAATCAAATTAAATTTATTTTAATTTGAAAAAATACTTGAAATTTGAAAAAAAAGAATTTTAAAATTAATTTTATTATTATTAATTTACTAATTACTAAATTATTAACTTTATTATTAAAAATTTTTTCTGAATTTTTATTGAATAAAAATTAAATTCCAATTATTTTCTTCGAATTTTTCTTTTTAAAGTTTTCACCATTACTGGTTAAACTCGCTCCGCCGACTTGTCGCATTGGACAAATATGCCAGAGAGCCCCTTGGAGATAGAAATACGGGTGAGTCGCCAGGACGGGTTTTTGGACAGGTTTACTCCTCCAGGGAATTGAACCTTAGTATCGGCGCTCCGAACTGAGCAACAACCCACTGAGCCATCCTCGCCTCATATTATTTTTGCCAAACATAAAGCCAAAAAAAAATTGAAAATAAAAAAGCCGTAAAAAACGCCTTTTCTAAAGGAACGCTTCCGGCTGAACCCACTCCGCTGGCTTGTCAAACCAGACAAATTTTGCCAAGGAATCATTTAAAGTAGAAATATAAATGAGCGGCCACAGCCACCTGCAAAAGGTTCACTCCAGCGAGGAGCAGAACACCAGCGTTCGCGAACTACGACGAGAAGCCACTCAGCCAACCTGCCACCAATTATCTAACAATTTACGAAATAATTTATTATTCCATGTAAATAAATTAAGGATATTATGAAAGTGACCACAAATTGAGACCGAATTTTACTGGTGTCGAATATTTCATAAATTCCATAAATTCGGTGCAGTGGGTTCGATACATATAAACTTCGTTCTTTAGCATGATAATTTTTCAGTTATCCGTGTGGTACTTCGAACTTATTTTGTTATTCTCAAGTTGCATGTTGGCAAAGGTCGTCTGGTGGGTGGTAGGGTTGAGCAAAATCCCTTGGTGATTTTGACACTCGGCCATTATCATGATCCATTATAATATCATTCACCTTCTGCCCCTTCAATTCTCCCAAAGCCAGTTATAGCCTATCCCTTTCCAATTTAGTCTTATTTTATTACCGTTAACGGCCTACCAAACTTCTCAAAACACTTTAAGGGCAGCGGGTACTTTTAGTAGTGTTGCATGTGGTTCTCCCTGCTCATACATAATTCTTAAAGTCGTTGTCGCCGAACAGTGAAAGCAAAAGCTTGATCGGAAGCAGATTCGAAAATTAACTTATCAACAATTATTATCAATGATTAATGAAGGTGAATGAACGGTGAAATCATGTGGCGAGTGAAAGGATCTGATCATTTCGACACGTGTTCGTGTCCTTCGTCGCGTGCAATGACTCATTGGTGGTGACATGTGATAAGTATGCTATTCGGGCGCAGTTAGAGGATTCTAAGACTTGAGAATAGAAGGAGCTCTCGGATCGCGATAACTGCTTGGAATCTGTCAAGGAAAATGAAATGAACAATTCGCCTATTCGTGTAAGGACACGCGGCGAGGGGGTTACAAGATGGTAACGTGGAATGCTTGTCGCGAATCAATCGACCATTATCAGCATATCACTGATCATTGTCATCACTGTCCAATTTATCGAATGGACATCGCCTATCAGAATTCTGTCTTCCTTCCTCATTTCTCGAGCAATTATTAAACTGAGCACTACTACCGGCTGCAAGGTGCTTCAGATAGCTCGAAGCGGAACGACGAAATGATTATTGATCTGAAAAAATCCAGTCAAGTGGAAGATGGCTAATGACTATATAGCCGCTTCAAAGAGAAGTTCTGCAATATACCGGTTATTATGGTTGAAGTTCATGATCAACGGTGACATCACATACGTAATGTCGCCTAAAAACAAAGATGCCAAAGATGCCAAATCAAGGAAAACATGATATTTTCAAAAACCTAAGGTGGAAAACTTCTCCATGCACAACACTTTTATATATTTTCTGCATATTCCACTTTCTTCCATTCAACTGATTTTTTTTTGAGAGCCTTCAGTGGTCAGACTCGCTCCGCTGGCTTTCCGCACTGGACAAGTATGCCAAGAAGTCGCTAGACTATCGTGAGTCACCAGCGTCACCTGGATTTTGAGCGAGCTTTCTCGTGCTGAGAGTGGAGCCTCACTAATTAAATAATAAATATATCTCTTTTTCATAGTCATCTTAACAATTTTATTTTTTTTTATTATTTTTATTATTTATTATTATTTTAATTTATAATTATTATAATAATTTATAATTATTTTAACTTATAATTTTTATTTTTTTTTAATTTATAATTTTCATTATTTTATTTTTTTTTTTACAATTTTCATCATTTTATTTTTATTTATACATTTATATTTTTTAATATATTTAATTAAAATTATTGCATAGGTACACTCGGATTGATTGATTGCAAAATGCATTTTTCGCTTATTTTAACGATATTTATGGTTTTATAAGAAAAGTTTTTGTTCAAAAAACTTCTCAAATTTTCATTTTTCGCTTCATTTCAGCTGAAAATCAATTAATTTAATGACTTTCTTATGAAAGTGCTTCTCCCGGATGTATACACAGATGCATATTATTTAATTCCATTATGCAGTCCTCATATTTACCACATTGGCAAATTCATTAAATCCAGTTTTTTTTTCAAACTTTACTTATTGTATTATTTATTTTTTAATCAATAATTTCAATAAATATAATTGCAATTCATTTTTATTTATTATTTATTTTTATTATTTGTAAATTTGCAAATTTGCTTCTTCTTCTCTTCTAACACCTCTCTCCATTACTGGTTAGGCTGGCTCCGCTGGCTATAATAAGGCGTTTCCAAGCTACTCGACCATCGCTAGTGGTCTAGAAGCCATTTCTTTCTCCATCGTTTAAGTCCATATATCACTGATTCCCCTACACGTTCAAAATCTTTCCTGTTTATTAGTCCAGGTTTTGACTGGCTCTCCTCACTTTTGACGCTAAATCATCACAAGATTGAGTAAGTAACGAAATAAGCGTTAATCTTATGGTGGATGACGGAACGTGCCCTAACCAGCGAAGGCGACCCTCTCTTATAACATAATTAATACAGGTGGTAGTTGAGCGAAAATGGATACAATCATGTGCGATTTTATCCGTTCGATATATACGGATAAATACGGATATTATACGGATCGTAAAATCTCTCTTGGATATGAGTGGTCAAAGGCTAATAGCTTCTTAATATTTTCCACTCTTGTTGGCCAGCCATATAGCAAGATATGTCGAACTTCGCGACTGTATAGACATAGATTTCAATTTTTAAGGTGATCTCGCGACGGTTCCATAAAGGCTTCAACCAGAAAAACTAATTCTAGCTGCCATTATCCGGGTTAGATATCATCCTTGGCATTCGGGATTAAAGCGAATCCAAGGTATTTAAAATCCAGCACTTCTTCAACTGGCAAATAGGTATTTTATCAGTATCTTGATATAAGACGAAAACACTCGTTTTATTTATATTGATTTTGAGTCCAATTCTCGCTGTTGCACTTGTTGACACATTGTTTAATATTATTTGCATTTCCTTATAATTGTCAGCAAAAAGACTACATCATAAGCGTATTCAATGTCTTTGATGTTGTGCTGTGGACTTATTTGCCGATCTCTTCAGTGCCGACACACGTTATCCAGTATCCAGTATCGCATAGTTAAATATTTTAGGGTAAAGGACGCAGACCTGACGGACACCAATTTTTTTTCGGAGGGGTTTGTCGGTTCTCTATATCACAGACCTGCGCCAGGTTATGCTGATAAAATGCCTTTATGAGCGAATGATTTTCTAAGGGTCACCATCAAATTCCATCATTTTCCAGAGTGCTGCTCTATCAAGCGAATCAAAGGTAGCTGCAAAATGGATGAAGCAAGTGATGATGGGTTGCTGGTATTTGAAGTAATGTTCCAGCACCCTTCTTAGCGTAATATCTGGTCAGCACAACCGTGTCCCGGTCTAATCTAATTTGGTTAGGACGCATTCTGCTCTCGTGTTGCTATGAGTTTTTTAGCAGAAGGGAAGCGAAAATTTATTTTACTTTGTTTCATTGTATATTACAATATTTTTGAAAGTTTTCAAATCTTGAGCGGTTGTATTTGCATTCCACTGTTATTTTTTATACTTTTTTGGAATATTTTAGAATTTCTATAGACAACGAGCTAATTTTTTTTTTTCTAAATTTATTAAACAAGAATTGAAATAAAATACATATATAAAATTTATAATAATATAAAATAACATTATATTCGTTTTCGATAAACCTGTCATGTCAAAAATCCAGGTGGTTGCTGGGGACCCACCGTAACTCTATACCATAGTGAATCTATGGTGAAAGGATTAGTTTTTCTTGATACGGCATCCGCGTCTTCCAACGCGCTTGATACTCCCAGTCCGGAGGTACATGCGATAAATATACATCTGGGCTTAAGGCAATGCCAAGGCTGATAAATAAAATGTGCTCGTAAGCCAGGGTAATTGCTCGAAACCAATCAAAGGGAATAGCCCTCTGTACACGTGGCGAAGTATTGGTGGTGTCAGGGTAGAACGTCAGAACGCTTATGGACGTTGCAAATCAAGCGATCACTGTCCACATCCTTTCTAAATATTTGTGGATATCGCTTACTCGTCAGAGAGCGAGCCTTTCTCACTCGGGGTCTCGAGTAATTACTAATCCTTTTTTGGAGCAAAGATGCTGGCTATATCACTGTGGTGCTTCGGATTACTTGGAATAAAATGGCGATTGTCATGTTAAGACCCATTCCGTTTTGATTGGGTGGAAACCAGTAAGCGACCGTATAGTCTATGCCTGTTTTAAAAGTAATTTCTGCAATATTTCGATCAGTGTCCATGCTCCAACTCTATCGGCAGATGACAGTGGTAAAAATAAATTTATATATATACGGAACTTCAACTGCTAACAAAGTCTACCAAAACATGATATGATCATAGTCGGGGGAGACTGGAATGCATGCGTAGGATATAATGCCGCTGCGATGATCTCTACATTTGGCAAATATGGCATCGGAAACCGATGCACCAATAAGGATGCCGAAGAGCATGAATATTTTTGTTATTAATACTTTTTTTCAGCATCATAAAAATCATTTAGTCACGTGAAACTCCTCGGATGATCAACACTTCAACCAGATTGATTATACCTTAGTCAGTCACTGTTGGAAAAGTTCCGCACTAGTTAGTCGCTCCTATAACAGTTCTGAAACAAGGAGTCTTCATGGGTCTGACCATGTTATAGTCCCACTTAAGATCCGCATAAAGTTGACAACTCGCAAAAAACAGCATCTCTTAAGATTCTTCAACTATTTCAAACTAAATAATTTAATGAAAAACAGTGAGCGCATATCAAGCCAAATTATTAAGAATCTCAATGGCATAAGTATCAATGATTTTTCTGGAGCGGAAAATGAACACTGGCTCCAATTAAAGGAATCTCTTCCACTTTCATTTGAGTACACTATAGGTAGTGCGTTAGTTGGATATCGGAAGCAACTGTCTATCTAAAAAAACTGCCAAAGCATGAATGTTACAAGATCCTGATTATCGCATGACTCGGCGAAGGTTTTTGTGAAAAAATAAAAGTCTCTTCGTTTTATGTCCTGTGCGATGGCGTGCCGCTTGGAAACTTCTTACCCTTATAGCCATTGAAGCCAGCCTAACCAGTTGTAATGAGAACTGTTAGGAGAAGAAGAAGAATATAATATATGCTGCTATACAATTCGTTCTTTCAGGCTATTTTATTAAAATTTGGAACTAATAAAGATTGGATTGATTGTGAAACACTTAAATATGTAATATTTTTTTTGTAGCAATATAAATTATAAATTTTGATGCATATTATTGATGTTTGTTTCTTCCCGCTATCTCCTATATCTTGTAGAATAAAATTAAGTGCATTGATTTAGCTTATGAGAAAAACAATATTTAGAAAAACGCCGGTGGCTTTTTAGCAATTTTTAGCAATTAATGATATGATAAAATATGATTAAATGATTAAATCGAGGAGAAGTGACTTATTATAAATGAAGGCATAACAAAATTTTTTTCAGAATACGGTAAGGAAAACTTGGAAATATATCGTTGAAGTGGTTTTCTTCTTAATTTTGATATTAACTGAATAATTCACAGAACTTTAAAGAGGAAGTCTATCTCACAGTGTGCTGTGATAGAATGAAATTAAAATTATTCAACTGCTGCAAATAAAACTACACTTTTCCATAGGTATATAAAATATCGCTCAATAGAGCCACAGGAATTTAAGCGGGCAAAATGCTAAACATATTGAGCTTCTCATTAAGAAGACTGCAAACATATCTTCCTCGAATAAATCATAGAGAGGTACAATAAAATAAAATGAGTATCCATCTGCAAATTCACAATGTAAAGTGAAATTTGAGATTTAAATCCTCTATTTGATAATTTATAAATCAAATATAATCGAAATTCTATCGAAAAAATATAGTTGGTTAGGCTGGCTCCACTGGTTAAAACGGTAAGACACTTCCAAGCGGTGCGGTCATCTGATCCCATCGTCGACAGTAATAGAAGCCATTTCTTTTTTCCATCGTCTCTAAGTCCATAGTCCACTTATGCGTTCAAAACCTAAGTATATATTAATACGTTTTGCTGAGCAACATAATTGGTACTGCGCAATAACTATTTTCTCAATAATAAATAAATGTTTGATAAATAAAATAAATATTATGCATTTAAGAGTTTCTTTATTAACCTATAATCTACAATCATTTCATGCATTATTTTTTCCTCAGAATTTTCTCAGAACAATTTGCATAAAATTTATTAAACTATTATTTTTGCTTATTGTAGAGGAATAACTTCGTAAGTTCCTTTTCCTTCTAAAAGCATTCGCCATTTCCAGTAAAATTCTTTCGTCAGAGTCTTATTAGGCAATGAAAATGCAGATCAGATCATCCGTACTTCACCACTTCATCCGCAATGAGAAGGAATAGAAGATGAACTCAAGCGTTTGAAATCTGATCGAAGCAATACCTTTATGGCTCAAATATCAAATGAATATTTGTTTTTTCATAAAATATAAAAAATGCTAAAATTTCTTGAAATCTAGAAAACTGTTATTAATTATTTAACAGTATTTCGTAATTTTTTGTAATTTCAGGATACAAAGAAGATGATCGACGAAATAGGCAAACAAAATAGGCGAATAGATATTGAAGGACTAAAAACGCTTGCAATAATAAATCTATTCTTGTTTCATGTAAACCATAAATTTTTCAATAATGGGCTCATTGGAGTTGACATATTTTTTGTTATCTCCGGTTACCTTGCAAGAATGACCCTCAAGGATTCGCTTAGTATTCGATCCATTAAAAATTATATTATAAAAAGAATTAAACGTTTTATTCTACCATATTATTTTATATTTTGGCTGATAATTCATATTCGCCTACATTCTGCAAAAGAATCAATTGGTTATTTATCATTCAGAGAATTCACTCTCACCAAGAATAATATTCGCAACGAATGCGTTTCTGAGGTATAATTTAGTTCCTCATTTGATAACATCATTTTGGCTAGAGTAGAGTGATATCACTGGTTATTAGAATGAAATCTCCTTATAGACAGAAATACAAGTGGATAATCTTCAACACTGCCAGTTGAATGGTAATTTAAAAGTGGTGAATCAAATAATAGCATTGAACCAGTGTTACAAGTGAAATGGTAGAGTATCTTATAAACTTTATAAAACAAGTAAAAATTTGCCTCATAGTGAACTGCAACAAAGGTAAACGAGTAGTAAAAGTAGTAAAAGAGTAAAGTAGAGTAGTGAAGGTAAAAGAAGGACAAGTACTTTTTTAAAATTTTTATAAAATCTCATTTGTAGTTTGAACATTTATGGTCATTGCCCATCATTTTACAATTTCAATTTCTTGCACCATTTCTGATGAGCCTAAGGCTGATGAAAATGGGTCGATTGCTGTTTGTTTTCGCAGCCTTATTTTCTTTCGTTCTATACGTTGCTCAGTGTGGAAGAATATCTCGAAATTTATCGGAATATCTATGGCAGTTTTTAATTGGATCTTTTGCTTATGAACTTGATGGGAGCAATAATGGTACTGAACAAGGTTGGATTCCCATAAAACTTCGCTCAAATTCTTGCAAAACAATAAACTTTTTTAAGTAAATTATCTATTTAACTTATAGATAAGAATGAAATAATCAACTATTTAATCGAAATTATAACAGTCATATCGTTGTGTTTAATCTCGCCATTGTCATCATTCATCCAGAATGATAAGCAATTTTATAAAATAATTTCTTCGTTTGCCACCGCTTGGTTATTAAGAGCAAAATTTTTGTCATTTCTTAATCACCGAAATTTACTAATCGGCGATCGTTCATTTTCGATTTATTTGGCATACTGGATTTATGTGTTGTTGATCAAAGACAAACAGCCTTTTAGCAATTCTACCAATTTCCACGGTGAAGATTTTGATGTTATATAAAAGTCTTGAAAACTATTTTTTTTAAAAAGATTACACCATTTGTCATATTCCCCTTTCCGCTGGCTAATTGGACTAGGCAAAGAATTTTACTTGAAGCCAGGGGAGGAGAAGGGAGCAGTGTAATACTTAATTTATAAAAAATTAAGAATATATTATAATTATATTCAAGAAATTGATATCTGGTAAATCTTACGAGATTTTAAAATTATATTATAATTTAAATCAGTCCCAGGAATTCATTACTTCGAACACTTTTTGAAGTATTAAATAAATTGGATATTCATCTTTTTCATAGCCCTCACCATTACTGGTTAGGCTGGATCCATAGGCTACAAGGATAAGGAGTTTCCAAGCTGCGCGATTTATCATGGCATCGTCGACAGCAAAAGAAGCCTCTCTTTTTTTCATCGTCTAAGTCCATATTTCGCTGGTCCGTCTATAATTGTTCAAAGTCCTTCTTGACCGTGTTCAGGCCTTGGTCGACCCACCCCATTTTTGACTATCACAGGTTTTATAAAACGAAAATAACGAAATATATTGGGGTGGGCGACGAAGTGTGCTCTAAAGGTGACGCTCTTTGATGGTGCTATTAATACAAGTGTACTTGAATGAAGGTGGATGCAATCGTGGGAACTCGGCGAGTCCGTAATTGGCTATTAATTTTTTTAAGATCTCATCATTTTCAAATTATTTTTTGCTAATTCATAGATAAATTAGAAAATTTTTTTTATTTTGGAAAACAAGTTTCACAGATCGCACTTAGGATAAAATCTCTTCGAAAAAATCAGTTGGGTATAGAATTACAAGCGGGTCCATAGCACCACCTGGGCACTATTCAAGACACCACGGTACGTGGTCTTAATTGATAGAAAATCCCATTCGACCTGATTTAAATTAATTAAATTGATTTAGATTTTATCGATACCACATTGTTTATACTATTTCTATCAACAATAATCTATGAATTCGTTGAAAAATTTTTTTTGCGATTTTCTATCAAAATTTGCTTGATCTTCGTTGTTATTACCTTGATACTATCTTTGTTAATTTTTCTCCCTGTTCTTCCAAGACACTCTGCTGATAAAATGCTCAATACAGGTTTGCTATTGCCTATCAACAGAATATTATTTGTATATATTATATATTCAAATATTATTCGCCTTAGGCAATATTCATTATTCGCAAAACTGGAGGCCTGATTATGATAATATAGTAAATATATAAAATGCATAGAAATATTATGGGAGCCAACTACATATTTATTTATTTATTTATTATACACTAAAAAGCACGTTCCTTTCTTAAATCGCCCAATCGACCTGTTTGGTTGTTTTCAAATAAAATTGCAATGCCTCTATTTTTGGGGACATTCTTTTGAAGACATACCAATGTAAAACCTTTTATTGTGTCATCTGAAGTTATTTTCATTGTTTACCAACAACTATTTAGTTTCACATCGTACTTATTAGGGAAAAAGCAATCACCTGTGGCAATCTAGCGGGTTTTTCGAGTGATTACCATTACCAGTGCCATTTAAAAAAAAAATATTAGAATAATTAGATTAATATAAATAAATAATATCAGATTTTCCATCGAAACTTCTAAAATTTGTGCAAATCCCAAGGCACCCAATCTGATTTATACGTGAGAATATTTTCAGCTGAGCAGATAAATACAGCAGCACGACCAGTGGATCGTTTTCTTCTAAATGATACTGTATTGGCAGAAATAATCAGAATTAATGAAATAAATAAATTATCGAAATATCCAACAATACCCGAATTGAAGATGATTGAAGATTTACCAATTATTTCAAAACTTAAAAGATTTGGTGTAACTGAAGCAAACATTTCTTACTATGAAATAAGTTTTTTTTGAAATAATGCCTCATTTTTCGATGCAAAACAGAAATAATAATTTTTATCGATGAAATTTTTTTATCAACGATGAAAACGAAAAAAATCAAAAAAATTTGGAAGAATAGTTTTTGCAGGGCTCAGGAAATACTACTGTGGTTGTATTTGGCAATAGCCTGGCAATGGCTGCTTTATATTATATTGTTCCAGCTTTTGGCTTGCACAGAATCCGACACATAAAGTTACTGAGCACACCTGGTTGTACACCAATTTACAATGTTAAGTCACTGAACAATCGCTATCGAAATTGCCCGCAATTCTTCAAAATTTCAATGGAAATTATTCAAAAAATGATGCCTGATATCATTTTTTTAAATTTCATGTAGGTTCACGATAATATTCTCGAAACGAAATCTGGTTACGACGATAAAAACCAATAATTAGATAATTGCATCCAGATTCCAAATTAAGTAACACACTACTGGTTCCAACTGCGTTGATTAAGTGGTTAGAAATTTTGATGGGTGAACTTCTCGTGTCACAGCAATCATGCTTGCTAAGCTCTGTGGTGGCTGGAGTTCAAAAGTGAGGAGAGAAATTAAGATGCCTACTGCTGCGATTACGATAGATATTGCATAGAATCTGGGCTTAGAGCAAAAAGGAATGGCTTATATCAGATCGAGAAGTTCCAGCACCACACTTGTAACCAGGAGAATCATTTGAAAAATAATTGTGCGAGCTATCGATAGAAAAAAAATAATGGAAAAATTAAAAAAAGCTTGCTTATGAACATTAAAGTCACCATCATGCGGTTCCAATTAATTTTCAGGTTTATTTGGCCATTTCATGAGCCGATCAAAGATATCTCAAAAGATGTTCTTCAATACAAATTACAAAAAACTATTAACGATATGATGAAATACACCAGAAGAATTGTATTCTCATATGACAATCCATATGCGCCCAATAAGTACATTTCTTGAAATTTGAATGGATTTGAGTGAAAAGAACTAATTCAAAACGCTAATACCTGCTGTATAAACATCAAATATAAAAGGGGAATTTTGCTGAAGCAGTGAGATTGCGGTGATAAGCGAAAAATATTTGAATTTGAATACTGTTATACTGTTAAATACTGTTTATATATACTGATTTTAAATACTGTTCTGTGTTACTAATATAGATATAATAATGGCAGTACGAATATATTTGTCGCCTACCACGCAATTACATTTTAGTCGCTTAGATCAACCCTAAACGGGCAATATAATGATAGGTGTGGGATGATCAAATTTTGTCCTCAAACTTGGGTAATTAAACCAATTTTATACGAAAACGAGGGGAATGAGAAACGAAGGCCAGAAAATGGAATAAAAAGTTTCAAATATATTTACAAAAGAGAGCCTAGAAGAAATTCACATTATACAAAAATCTAAATAAGAAAAATTAATTTAACTTAAAAAATAAATCTAATTATTATGCCAGGCCCGACAGCTTGAACTCGCAGAAAAATCACCAAAGTTATAAAGGCGCCAGAAGGGTTATGTTTCCCCAATAATTCCCCCAAGGCAAATGATTCACGAAAACGTTAAGATATTTTAAAAAAACCTTCTTCATCTAATCTCAAAGAATAATTTTCAACTCCATAATTCGGCAAATTCAAAATTGAATATTGCAGTTTTCCAAACCCAGAAGATATTACAACGAGGCTTGCCAAAAGATTACCAATCGACGATCTAAATATTCCATTCGAGGTGTTTTTAAATAATAGCCAAAACGCTTATAGAAGAATTGGTGCACTTCGGTGTAAAAAATGCGAATTTGTTCATGTTTATCGATGGTTATGCGACACCAAGGTATCTTTTTAAGCTTTCGTTAATTATTTAAATGCCTTAATTTTGCTTTTCGATAAGTTTCTGACGAATGAAGTTAATGAAAGCTTTGCCATCAGTTAAGTTAAAAGGTAATTACCAATTAATTTAAATCTTTAAATTCCTTAAAAATTTTATTTCTTTCCATAAATTGAGTCTAAAAATTTTCAGTGAAATATGCTAAAATCCTAGTAAAAATTTGCCAATAATGATTAATTAAAAAAATAAAAGAAATTTTTTTTTAGATTTGTCATACTTATGATTCTAAAACGTTGATAACATATTATGCTGATAAAGTACATTTTGGAATAAATGGAATTAAATTTATGATACCTTTTTATAAGAAATTAGTAGAAGAACTATATGCGAAAGAATATATTTGAATTCTTTTTTTGGCAGTTCTTCTGCAGTTTATCAGTTTAATTATTTATATTTATCGATATTGTTAATGAAAAGTCAATTCTTAAAGTTAAAAAGTGATAAAATGGCGCATCAACAAAATGTCAAGCAGAAAAACTGATATCGCAAAGTTTATTTCAAACTCTGTTACAAAATTCTCACTAAGATTCAGAAAAAAACGGAAAAACTTTCGTCACTTTCTGTTTTGAAAAATTCAGAAAAAATATTTTTTAATTTTTTTTCTAATAATTATAATTATTTTATTAATATGATTATATATTACTGAACTATAGCACAGCAATGTGCATAGATCACAATTATGCATCGAAACATGATTTGTGACAAAATTTGCATGAGCGTCTAAAATTTACCGATCTTTTTGCTCATAGGTGACAACTGTGATGAACCGGAAATAGTTATATTTTCAGCTGCCTCTTTATATCATTTTCAGTCATTTTTTAATATTCATTTTGTTTTCCTACTGAAATTTGTGGTAATAATCTTTTAATTTGTTCAGTGGAGTTTGCCTAAGGTTATAGCAAGCGAAGCCTTCACTAAAAGAAATAAAAAATAAGAGGCAAAGAAAGAAAGCATTCCAAAATCGGAATAAATTTATACGAAAATAATAAAATAAATTTCGAATAGGAGTATTAGTAGAAACATTCCCAGGCGTATCTTTAAGATCACCTGCAAAATGGAATGCTGGATGGATTTTCCAGAAAATGAGGTCGCTACTTGGTCATAGCATTAAACGTTACCGAATGCTTTTTATGTCCACTTGACTGTATTCAAAAATGAGCTGAACATGAAATAATCGGCGAGAAATGGAAGATTAACAATCCAATGAAGCAAAACTTATAAAAATGATCACAACTGAGACGACAAAGAAGACCAACGATTTCAGTTGACAAGACATGGACGATCCACATTAGCCGAAGAGTGACTATTATCCTTGTTATTATTTTGCAGTAAATTTCCATTTTTATTTATTTTTTGTTGTTTTATTGTTTATGTGTTATGGCGGCTCAGCCGATTACGAATATAATTTATTTCTTGAAAATGGTTTATATAATTAAAATGCAGATTAAATTGACGCAGAAGAAAGTCGAATACGTTGTTTATTTATTTATTTAAACATTCCCTAAGTGCAGCAGTATAAAAGGGGAAAAAAAGTCGAGGATTGGCAAATGGAAATAAGAAAAAGTGCGACTCATTCGTTAAACAGATGAAGAATTAAGATGAAAATATTCAAATCAAATCATACAAACAGGAGAATTAGCTCGAATTTTTGAAAGGTATTAATTCAGAAGAATGGGATGGATATTTAGCCAGCGATTATGAAAACAGAATCGAAGGTACGAGTGAGCGACTCAATAAAAGCGAAATCCAGTCTAGCGTAGATCTCACCGATTTGCCACCGATATCTCCAAGTGATTTTAATGGAGTTCCCAATAAAAAGAGTTCATCATAATGGTCAACCAGTTGAAGATCCCCCAACATGCGAAAATTCTTTTATTTGAGTCAATATAAAGGAAAAATTAAACTCTTCTAAAATTAAACATTTCATTATCAATTATGCGGTGATGCAGTGTAGCGTTAAAAGCGCTACAATATGGCCAAAATCAAGGTCGAGATCATCTTTATTGAACAACTTGGAAAAAATCCATTAGGCAAATCCATTTGACTTCGAATCAAGACGACAATTGTGGGTAACATGGTGGCAGTTGGAATTTGAATCTGGAATCCGCGAAACTTGGCTTCCAGCAAAAATAATAATAAGCATTTGAAATAACCTTTTGCTTTTTTCGACGACAACTGTGATGAATCGAAAATATTTACATTTTCAGCTGCTTCTTTATGCCATTTTTCAGCAACCGAAATGAATTTTTTTTGTATTTTATTTATTTTTGTATATTTATTTATGTTTTGCTATTGAAAATTGATGGCAGCCTTAATCTATTGAGTAGCCTAAGGTCTATTATAGCATACAAAGTCCTCATTAAAATAGGTAAAAATTAAGAGGCAAAGAAAGGAAGCACTCCAAAATTTGAACGAATTTTAGAAAATATAAATTTCGAATGAACTAGGAGTATTAGCAAAAACATTTCACATTATCAGGTATATCTTGAAGACCACCTACTTGATGGATGTTTGTGTCCAGAAAATGGGACTCTACTTGGCCAGCGTTAAATTCTACTTCTGTCTGCAATCATAATGACTATTCTTTAAAACGATTAAATTACGAAACAATAGGCGAGAAATGGAAGATCAGCAATCCGATGAAGCAAAAATGATAGAAATGACCACAAACGAAATAATTATATAAGCCAAGCCAAAGGTTTCAGTGGGCGAAACAGTAATGACCAACATCAACTGAAGAGTGGCTGTTACCTTTCTTTGCTTTTCTTTTTCTTCTATAGTTTCGGTTTATTTTCTTCACATAGTGATCGAGGATGGTGTTTGTCGTCGCGATTTCATTTCGAAGACATAAATTATCCAGGTCTCAAGCTTGAGGCTCATGGCGAATAATGTCAATTTTACATCGACAATACGACAATGACAATAGTTTTTTTTTTTTTAAATATTAAATAATAGTCTTGCAAAAGAAACTCATGAAACGAGCGCTGTCTTAAGGTTTTTTCGTTGCGCTCGATGGTTTTTCAAATCCATATTGCCTCTGGCAAATTTAAGGCCAAAAAAAAAATATTTTTCTCAGCTCAGCAAACAAGAAATGATTGATTTATTTATTCAAAATGAATGTAAGTATAATAAATAAATTATTTAAGGAGTGCAGCGACAACATATAAAATCAATTTGGTCAACTCTTTCGGATCCATGGAATGTCGAACGAATGCATTCACAGTTAATGCCTCGGCGGAATGATTCCTTTAAATTAGCCCTTTATGGATTTATTCATTTTTCTAATTTTAAAAATTATAAAAGTTCAGATATAAAAATAATTTAAATTTTGGTTTATTTAGTAATGAATCGCATTTTTTATTTGATAATAATTTGTTTATTCGAATGACTTAAAAATAAAATTAGAATGTTTTAAATTAATTCGCAAACACAGAAGAATTTTTTTTTTTATTTCATTAAAAATTATTAAAAAATATTTTAAGCGTGTTAATTCCTCGTTGTTAGACATAATCCTTTGCAAATTCTTCATTACCTTTTAAACTTAAATTGATTTTAAGGCCTATTTTAAGACCTCTAAAAGACCCAATGAGTAGCGGCATCTTATAAGCGCAAAAACCTAAAGAACCACAGGATTGATATTAAAATTAATATTATTGAAATTGGATTAAGAAAAATAAAATTTACCGAATTGATGCAAAATTTTTTCAAATAAGATCGTAGACTGAAATTTGTACATGGAAAACATCGTTGAATTAATGAACAATTGATGAGAAATATTTGAGATGATAAGTTATTATTGCCATTATTATCACTATTATCATTATTATTGATATTATTATTATTTGCATTTTCGGTCTGAATGAATTTGCTTGGCTGAAATAATGAAATTTAAGATTATACAAAAATTTAAAAAATTTACTGGAAAAAAATTTTTTGTTTATTGTTCCGTAATTTTTTTTCCGTAATGAATTAAAACTATAATTTTGCACCCTAAGGAATTAAATAAAAAATAATACGAAATTAATTAAATCAAATAAGAAAAACGTGAATTTTACCTGAATTTGAGAAAAAATATAAAAAAATATGACAATCAGTAGAAAATAGATAAATAATGCAGCAAAAACAATTGCGGCAAGCGGAATGTCAAAAGCCATTTTCAATTAATATCTGCGTTTTTTTCCGAGACATATAAACTGAATCCAGCAATTTAGGTGGAAAATCCCATGAAAATGTTTCTATGAAAAATGTTTGTTTCCATGGAAACTAATTAAATTTTAAAGACATTCCATGAGTATATTTTAAAATTTGGAAATGTTCATTTTATGAAATTTTAATTTGCTGTTAATTATTATTAATATTAATATTAATTAAAAAACTAGCAAAAATAATTTGACTGAAGCAGTAGAAGAAAGGTTTATAAACGTTAGTGCAATCACCAAGAAAAAGCACCGAAACACCAAATTATTTCATGCCAATATTCCTTATGGTACCATAATTGTAAATTGTTGCCAACTATATTATTATTAAAAATATTTTCGGGTTTCTTTCAAACCATTCAAATTCAAATACACAAAATATTTCGGCAGTGGGTCAATGAGTTTACCCGAGGCAAATAATAAACAGATTGTGCTGCACTGCAATAGAAAACAAATAAATTCTACTTTGCTCACCCCCTTCTATTTTTAAATGATCGAAATATAAAATTCAATATTTAAATTCGATCTCGATTTTTCAATAAATTTTTTTCCCAATTTTTATAATCAAAATGAAAATTTTTGACTTAAGAATGTTGATAATGATAAAAAATAGTGGTGATAAGAATTTATAAGAATTTGAATTTATATGCAAATATTTTTGAACAGAAAGAATAATTCGCCTTTTTTTTCAACCATTTAGCAAATTGTTAATTTGTTGCAAAGCGAATAAAATTTTTAATCTACTAAGATGGTACTAAATTTTACTAAGATGGTAGCCATCATACAGGAAAGTAATAAAGACTGATGCAACAACTTTAAGCATTTCTTTTACGCTATAAAGAATAATAAGGGACGTGTCGACGAATGGCGAAGAAATCCATAACTTAGGGCTAATCATCCGCAACAAGCAACCATACTTCTCTCCTCCCGGTGAAAGTATTAAAGGTCGAGAGGAACGAGAGAATATTATCATTGAATAATATTTCAGACTCACTCTCATTCCTAATTATCAATGACATTCTAGCTGCTCGGATAGTTGCAGCCAGAGGTCCAGCCAAATCCAAATTCGACTCGAACGACAGTTCGCATATATCCAAAATCTTACTATATACTATATATCAAAAATCTTACTATGACCAATTTTGCCTACGGTATGACCAAATAAAGTCTTACATGTATTCACCTTCACTCGAATACCATCTCAGTACAAGGTCACAAAGTGTCGTCTATGCTGGCATGTCTTCCCTTATCTTAGCTATGATAAGAACGTATTATTGACGTATTACTCTCTAATTCTTGTGATGGTTACATCTTTTCAACCAAATATCTTATCCTAATGGTGCGCACTCTTTGTGCACTTATAAGAAGAGAAACAGTAAATATGGATTAAATGCTGAACACATCTTCCATATATATTTCGAAATTTTATTGCAGATTCTAAAAAACTAATTAATTGATCTAATTTTAAAGCAAATTTTAAGGATAAAACAATAAATATTAAATTTTAAAAGTTCGGATGGTACTGGCGACTCACCTGCACATCGCCAAGTGATTTCCTGCCAAAGTTTTGTCTGGTCCAGCAAGCCAATGAAGCAAGCCTAACCAAAAATAGAGAGCGCTATTATAAAAACTTTTTTAAAATGCAAACTCAATAATAAATTATTCAAACAGAGAAGAATACAATGATCATGAACAATTAGTTATTTGCCGATGTTACAATATTAATATGATAAACCGAACTATCACGGACCGAAAAACAAGCCATTTAAGTAAACAAAGCTTGGAAATGAAAAAATCGCTGAGTTAAAAGGTTCAATGAATAATACAATAAAAAAATTCAAACGGAACGAATTCAAACGAATTCAAATTCAAACGGAAAAATTCAAAAAAAATGAAATTGAAAAATAAAACAGAAGGAATTATATAAATCAATTTAAATTCATGGATCACTTGCGCGCTATAAGTCCATTAAGTTCGGGTTCAAGTAAAGTATCAACAACAACTTTCTCCAATTTGGAAAGCTCATCCATGACATTCCCAAGATCCCTAAAAACGATAGTTTTGCGATGAGACAAGTAAATAAATAATAAATAAAATTATAATTGAATGAATGAATGAAAAATAAAAATAATTTTAAATAAAATAAATATAAAATAAATTTTCTCAGCCATCCCGAAAAATTTCTTTGCTTTTGAAATCAAAAAAATGATGCAAAAAAATAAATCCAATCTTCCAAATCCAATAATAAATCCAAAAAATATTTTTAATCCAATTTTCAGGGAATCAATTAGAAACTAAAAAAGACTTAAAACTCACTTTTCATCCTTTCCCGGATCGGTTTTTAGCTCAATATAGTATTTAATCTTTGGCTCAGTTCCACTGGCGCGAATTGTTGCAAGACTTCCATTCGAAAGCGTGAAGGTTATCATTTCTGATGAGGTACTCAGGGGCAAAATCTGTAATTAACAAAAGAAAGGAAAGGAATTTACAGCTAAAAATTATTTCTTAAATGATTCAAAAAGCAAAACATACGGGTTTGTTGTCTACTTGCTCATTATCATATCCAACTGTCAAATCACGAACATATTTTACATTATAGGGTCCAATTATTGTCGGATACTGAAAAAAAAAGTTCAAATTTTTTAGATTGAAAAAAATACTTTTATGCGATTATCCCAAAGGAAACAAGAGGAAAAATCGGAATTGTGCCTTTTTGGAGGAAAGTGAGGGAAATATTTGAAATAGTAGGATAGGTGGAATGGAAATATAACTTTGTAAATTTTCATTTTTTAAATTTTTGCTTTACACTTTTAACTTTTATTCTTACAATTAACCATTCCTTGTGATATGTGATTCTACTCGATCTGAAAAAATGTTTAAAATAAAAAAGTGGAAAAAGGAAATGAACCGAACTTTATGATCCTTTCGAAGTTTTGTGAAAATATTTTTAACAGTATCCGACTTAGGAACGAACCAATATGAACTGGACATAAGATGAAAACCATATCTAAAATATAAAAAAAAATTGACCTCAAGATTTCCAATCATTTTCATCTAGATGCTCACACTACTGACAATATTTACTTTTTATAAATGTTAAACAGCTGTTTGGTCAAAGAAGACCCTTTTGAACTTAGATAAGAAGCGATTTCTGCGAAAATAGCGGCTGCTATGATTCCGTCTTTGTCCAGTGAATGCCCTGGCATAAAACCAATAGATTCTTCCCAAGCAAGTATGACCAATTTACCCTTAGTACGAAGTTCATCAGCCTTGTTTCCCATCCACTTGAATCCAGTCAGTGTCAACTCATTTTTGAACCCTGCAAAACAAATCAAAAATTTAAATTTCTAAATATGTCAAAGCAAAAAATATTATGAAGTAAATCTCAAAATGTAAAAACCTTCTTTGTCAGCCATTGTCTTTACCACAGATGAAGATACAGTACTATTCAAGAAGTAAACATTAGAAGGATCCGCAGATGGATTTTTTTCACGCCAACATAGCCACATCCACCAAGTAATTAGTGTTCCCATCTCATTGCCAGAAAATACTCGCCATTCATCACTTAGAATACAAAATACAAGGAAAAATACAAGAAAAATACAGTTTTGATATAATATATATACTTATATATTTGCATGATGCTGGGCATTAATACTTCTATCTCCGACTAAACCTTCGGTAAAATGTTTCTATCCTCCTAGCCAGTATGATAAGGCGAATAATCATTACGAAAAAAAAAATCCAACTATAAGAATTTCTTATCACCTATCGGAAATTTTTAGGAAAATTCGAACTGAAAAAAAATGGAAAACAATAAGAATTAACTTTCAATAAAACAATCTTCTTTTAAAAATATGGGTAGGATAATATAACTATGATATAAGTAGTAATTTTCTATAAATTCAAAATAAAAAAATAAATTTACTTTGCTTGCTTTTCGGCTAACTGAAATCTGTCTGCGTCTGGATCATTAGCCAGAATAATAGTAGAGCCGTTTCGATCAGCTGTCTCAATCGACAGTTTCAGAACAGATAAACCTTCCTCTGGATTAGGAAACGGCACTGTTGGAAATTCTGGATCTGGCTTAGCTTGCGCCTGAAATCCAAAAATGGTTTAACCGATTAATTAATTAAAACAAATCAACCATAACTTGATTAACATAAGTAAATATTACTTCAACAATAACAATATTATTTGCTGGAAATCCAAACACATCCATAATTCTGCAAAAATATGGCAGGCCAACACCATGAAAAGCAGAATAGGTAAATTTCAATTGACAAGCTTGATTTGTTGACCTTGAAATCGATTTGAAAAACCATTAAATTGATTTTACCATAATCACTTTATAAATCATTTATCTTTAACTGATTGTCGCTTTATATTTTAACGGATATAACGAAAAAGTAAATAATAAATGTTCACCTGTGGTGACATAGATATGCTTCTTCTTTATAGTATTCATCTATAACAGAATCGGCCAAATTATAAAGAGGATTTGTTGTCAGATCTGATAAATTCCAATATTCATCTTTTAGTTCCGTCGTCTCGTATGCATATCGACAAATTTCATCATCGTGAGGCGCCAAAATCTAAAAAGTCTTTTCATTTATAAGGTCTGAAAATTGAAATTTCTTTGATTGGTCGAAATAAAATTCTATCAAAAAATCTTATTTCTTATATCATCCCGATTTAAATTTTCCTTTAAATTTAGATACAGAAAAAAATTTCATCAAGGCAATTCTAAATGCCTCAATATTAAATATTATAAGTTGCAATATATTTTTCTAATGCAAAAAATACTTGTGCTCCATTTGCCCAATATGCTTTATATCCATTATCATCTTTTGGATTATGAGATGCCGTAATCATAAGACCGGCTCCACAGTTTAATTTTGAAGTTGCATATGCCTAAAATTTTGATCAAAAAAATTTGGAGAAAATTTTTTTAATTAATTCTCCATTTTAAAAAATATAAAAACAATATAAAGACTGAAAAAAAAGGATTTTTATCAAAATGGGAGTGAAGAACGAAAAAAATATTAGCAGAAAAAATAATAATAAAGTAAAAGTAACAATAAAAGTGATGACTTGGATGAAGTCTTAAAACTAATTTTCTTCATTTAACGCCTCATTCTCAAGAAAAAATATTTATGGTATAGTACTTACAGTATTTGGCAATGAAAATATAACGAAAACATGAAATTGATAAAAATAACTAATAAATAATAACTAACTGCTAAAGGAGTAGGACAAGTAGTTGAAAAAACATAAACTTTTATGCCATTCTTCACAAAAACATTAGCAGCCAAATCAGCCCATCTATAATTTCGATGTTAAAAGTGGCATTTTTGATTGTTTTCTTATTTCTCACTAATATTTTATCAGTAATACAATCCGACTTATTACGACGGATCGAAATTAGACAATTTAGCTAGCATTTTGTTAGATGGAAAAAATTTGAAAATTACAACAGATTCTGAGAATTTAATCAGAATTTCTCTATTTCATTAAAGACTACGAGAAAAATTCTCGTAGAAAATGGATTTGCAGAAATTTCCTTCGCATAATTTGAATTAATTTCAAAAATAGATATTTTTTTTAACAAAGAATAGATATTTTTTTTCTTAACAAACTCAATCATTTAACTCATAACAGTCGTAGGGCTCATAAAAACAGCATCGATCCAATTGAAAATAAACCTTTTGCTATTATAACGTCCATCGTATCCAATAGCAAAACCTTTGCAATCATTCTTATAAAATTTCTTCATATGCGTAACGAATCCATGCGTTAACATTAATATAGTAAGATCATTTAAACGATTGAAGCCAGCTTCCATTCTTGCGCGAATTCCTAAATTTGAAAAAAATTTTACAAAAAATTCTCAATATAATCTTTTTTCTTCTTTTCACAGCATGCAACATACGAATTCAGTTTAATTTTTTACGACAGTCGAGTCTCTTAGAGGAATTTATCACAGTTTATTTCCATCAAGAGACAGAAGTCGAGTCAATGATATTCCACCTCAGTCGATGAAACGTTACTTTAAATTAATGAAATTAACCAAAGGCAATGTGAAACATGGTTATTTTCGTAGCATTTATCGACAACAATCTATTAATTAATATCAAGAAAATTTTTAGGCTGAAAATATAAAAAATAACCAGCAGTTCCGAATTTTAATTTACCGCACATTCTCGAGCGAAGTGCATCAATATCGTGACTGGCTCGAAGTTTGTTAATTTCTTCACGATTTTCAACATTCTAAAATCGAAAATTTTAAATATTATATTGAAAAATAAAACAAAGCGAAGAGATATTCCACAATAGGATTTCCATCCGCAATTCAATGATATCAGTAGCGTTTTTAAAGACACCAATTTAACCTTTGACATCGCCAATGCCATTTTAATTCATTGATAGATTTCCAATTATCAATTTCTCAAAAATGAAAATAAAAATTTCGTACACGAAAAAAATTTTAATTTGAAATTTAAATCTTTAAATTTTACAATTTCTTTAAATTTTTGAAAAGAAACCTTATCCATTCTCATCCATTTATCAACGAGATTTTCAATTTCTTCAGAACTCATTTTTCTGTTTGTTTGAAAAAATCTAAAAATTATTCCTCTAAAATTCTGTTAATTAATTAAAAAGAAAAACGGAACTTTTTTATAAATTTTGACGAAATTAACGAAAAAATAAGTCAAAAAATGAGTTCAAAAACTTTAATGAAATCCAAATTCAGAGAAGAGAAAAATATTAAATATTTTAAAAAAAAATATTCGAGACGAATTGAATTATTCAATTATTTTGCTGATTTGAAAAAGTTAAAAAAATATTTTATTTAAAAACTTTATTCATAATCAAAATAGTCAATATTTTCGTTCATTCAACAAATTAAAATGATTTAAGCCATAAAAAAGGTCAAAAAATAAATTCAGCCCCTCCAAATCACATTTTCACACCTCAAATTGTATTTAAAATTAAATTAAAATTGTGAGCAAAAACTTTGATCAAATTTAATAAAACTTATCAATCCCAATTGTCGAAAACCCACTTAAAACTGATTCACAATTTCCTTTCCCTATGTAGTCGGCATCGGCTCAAAAAAGAGAGTTTGAAAAAACATATTTTATAATTCGAAAAGCGCAGATATGCTTTGATCTTGGTCAATAAGCCAAGAAAAGCGACAAAAAAATGAATTGCAAAAAAAATCGGATATGGCGCTATCAATATCAATTTTTCAAATTAATTTTATGGTGAAAAGAAATAAATTCTTCATGACTTCTTTATAAAATTTTTCATGAACAAATAATGTAGAAATAATGTAGAAGCAAAAAGTGTGGTGATGAGGTTGATGCAACTGTTTCAACTTTGATTCTCACTTTCTCTCGAAAAAAATGAACCAAATTTTTTAGATTATTTCACTAAGCCTCTTTCAAATATGATTATTCCCTTCTTTTATAAAAAAAAGCAAATTCATCTCTTTCAGCCACATCTTTTCAAATAGTAATAGCTATGGTACGACTCAGGTGGAAAAGAGCTCAATCAACTCCAAATTTATTACCACAAAAATTTTCACAAAATTTTTTTTAGATGCTATTCATAATGGATTGCCAAAAAATGAAATAGTTATCAATAATATACATGATTATCTTTGGCAAGAGTTTGAGCGAGATCCGTAACTGTTCCTGACTCTAAAGCGTCATCTTCTTTTTTGCTCTCATTTGCTTTTATCACAGAAATCAATGTCCATTTTTTTAAAAATGATGCTGAAAATTAACAATATAATGAGAGATTTGTGGAAAAAGGAAAATTAAATTTGGAAATATATGCAGTGCTTTTGAATTGAAGAAAATAATATACATTTCCAAACTCGAATAACTCCATCAGAACTGCCTGCAGTTAATACAGTCCCAGTGATATTCCAAGATATCCTCCAAATCTAAAAAAAGGATAAAAAATTCTTCAAGATAAAGAAATAACAGAATAATAAACATCGAAAAACTGCAGCAAAATAATTAAATGAATGTATTCAATAACAATAAATACAAACTAAAATTGCAGGATGATATGGATGTTCTAATGATTCCAATAGTGATATTTCATAATCAGTAGGTTTTATAATTCCAGTAATATCTTTGTGCACATCAGATCTTTTCGAACTTTTCTGCAAATAAAAATAAAGCAATAAGAAAAGCAGATTCCATTTCAAAATTCCATTGATTGAATCATAGCATATTGAAGAATTTGAGCATAAAATGGACAAAACGCAAAATATTTTTGATTCATATTTGATTCTGGTCTCTTCTCTATTTGCAAATTATATTTGTTAAATTATAATCTTTATTTTAAGAGAATTAAAAAAATTCAACAATATCTGATTATAACTTGCAAGGTTTCAACTTAAATTGATTAGATTTTTATGAACTGAAACTTTAACGTTAGATGGTGGAAAGAAACTGCATAAGCCTATTTGCAGGACTAATTTTTTTTGCATGAAATGTTACTACTGGAACAATTACCACATAAAGTTGTTTTTGCCTCATCTATTTCCAGTTTTAAAAGAAATCTCAACGAGATCATGCACAAGATATTTTAGAAGAAAATTTTGCAGCGATGTTAATCTTCGATGTTAATCTCATTTCTCGTTTTTTCTTTTTCTTTTTGCTTTACTTTTCATTCTTTTTATTATTTTTCTTCACTTACATATCTCTGCTTCTGTTACCGCAAACTCCAGCATAGCCTTATGATCTATTTGGTTTACACATAAAAAAAAATAATGGATTGAATGAGTAATAGATTGGATAGTTTACCTCCATAGTACTTTGAGAACTCCCTTCCAACGATTCTATAAGCGTTGTTTCATATTCAATTGGTTCACCGGTATCAAACATTTCATCATCCATTCGTTTATTAACTTCAGTTATTTTATAAATTGAAATATCCTTTGAGGCAATAGCCAACATATGATATGAACGGCCAGCAGACGGAGCAAATGCAATATCCGTAACCGGATCATTGATTTTTAATGATGTTACATCTCGCCAATTCCTATAAAAAATTTTTTTTGCTAAAATCATATCGAAAAGTAAAATAAAACAATATTGTCTGAAGAAATATTTCAATTACTTAAATCTTCAATTAAAAAATATAATTTAATTGCTGAAAAATTCGAGCTGTTTTTAATGTAAATATGCCTTGCTTGCTTTAAATAAATAAAAAACCAAAAAAACTAAAATAATAAGAGATAAGAAATAGATGAAAATGCAAAAAAACATGCTTTCCGCTTTTATCGAATCTAAATTCGAAAATTACGACATGTTTCCCAGAACTTTCAGCATCATCTGACGAGACAGCAATAAGGGGTAAAGACAATCGATTCGTACTCCAAGAAAGAGCGCTACATCGACATGGTAAAGCGGTAAAATCATGAACTAAACCCCATGACGATAAATTCATCACATCTGGCGCTTCGTAAACTCGCAAAATACCTTGCGATGATACTGTTGCCTTAAAACTAGAACTTAAGATTACCTTTAAACTAAATTATAGAAATCCAATATTCATTTATATTCATTTAGAAGAGATTGTAAGATTTTAAAGAAAGTAGGAAATATGAAATTATTAAAATAAGTTCCAAAAAAGAAAAAAGAAAAAGAAAAGTTTAATATTTAATAAATCTATAATTTAACGCACAATCATTAGGCCGAGATGCTTTGGAGCGAATTTAATATCTGTGACGTTGTGACGGCTATCGACAAGCTGACAGCAACGTTTCCAAAATTTATTCCCCTTTTTTCGCTCCGAATGTATACCTGTATTAGAGATATGAAAATCGCTGTGTTTAGCAAATAGCAACTCTAATAAGAAGAAATTTCTCGAACAATTTGGCATGCTAACCCCCAATTTCATAAGCAATTTTCAGTTCTTTCAAAAAAATTCGATGAAATAGCTTTCTTTCAAACGTCAACACTGGGTATTTCCGAAAAATCGCTGCTAATTTGGGCTATTTAATTTAATACTTTTATTAAGAAAGAATATAATTAGACATAATAAAGAAAGAAAGTTAAAGAAACTTGTTTCTTCCCAAATAATAATACTTCGATCAAATGAACACGTCGCCAAAATTTGCCCGAATTCAGGATGAGCCCATATAACTTTCCAAATAGGTCCAGTATGACTCTAAATTATTTTTTTTCGGAACAAATAAATAGGAAATAAGCAAGGAAAAATCTGATCCGATAAGTGCGCATCTACCTCTACGGTCAGCTTCGGCTACCAGACAAGATTTTTTTCTTGCTTCTCCTCCCTGATACAACCTTTACGATGTCCTTCGCCAAACAAGATTCTTCTTCTCTAATAGAATTTCTGGTTCAATCTGGTTTCTGACTGCACGAGCGATAGAGATTGTCAGTTGAGTGGCTTCTCAATAGCCACTCGTTGCAGTTGAGAACAGCAAAGACCGAAGCGATCGCTATTTTACGATTCTATATAGGAAAAAAAAGGAACCTTCCACGACGACGATTTAATCCAAGTCGCATTCGGCTTCAGATCCCAAACACAGATTGTACTATCGCTTGACGATGTCGCTAGTCGACGTCCATAATAATCAAATTCGACATGGTGTATCAAATCTTGGTGTTGATCGTTGAATATTAACGATGTTGTGAATTCAAATGATCGACGATTGTTTATCATATTTTCTAGAATTTATATTTTTAAAAATATGCATTCTTTTTCTAGTTTTTTCAACTCTATTTCGACTCACTCGCCTGGCTAGTTGGATCATACAAATTTCACTATACAGGTCACCTGGCAGAGACACAAAAGTACACATACGCTATCAGTCCAACCTGGAATCTTGAAAGAGAGGTTTAATCTTAACGAGAGTGGAACACCAATATCGCCTCCACAAAAACCCTCCATACAACCACTCACCTATTTTAATTTGGCGACAAGTCTAGCGACAAATTAAACAAAAATTTTCCAAAAAAAAAGAAATTACATGAGTGATTTTTGTAAATTCTAACTCTCAGCTCAGCTTCTCTAATATTCGTTGAATAAAACTTTTCTAATACAGGCAAAATCTCATCAAAAATAACATGCTTCTTATTGCTAGTTGTCTGTTTAATTTAAGTGGTCAGTAAAAGTGGTCTGGGTAAGTACCATAGGGAGGTCGGACAACCGCAGGTCGATCAATAGCCACTTTTGATTAGCTCAGCGATTCAGTGAGTATTACTGAGCAAGTGATAAGTAAGGCCTGGAAAATCCTAAAATCCGTATGGTTCCATTTCGTACAACCTGTTTCTTATTCTCCAAAATTTATATTATCTCTCGTTCTCTCGCTGTTGGCTTTTTGCCAAGAAATTGCAGCCATTCATTTTTAGGCGCTTTCTATAAAGCGATCGCGGGCGTCTAATAATTTATTATTATTTGCATTTCTATAGTCTACTAAGGTTGTTTTTATTTTTAATAAATATTTTCTATTATGTTTTTCGTTTAAAATTTTTCATTAACAATAATATTTATTAAATAATTTAATAATTTCCCAAAATAATCATTTCGAATAAAAATTTATTTTCATCGCTTAATGGCGAAGATTAATTTTTCTTAGGTCAAAGGTCACATAGAATCGGTCTCTGCTAAGGTCAGAAATCAGATTATTAGCCAGTATGCGAATGTCTAACTCGTCCGATAGTCACCTCGTCGGGGGAAGTACCATTCACCAGTCTCGCGAATTCCTGGTCTGTAATTCGGTTCTAGGAATGTGTGGTGCAAAACTGAGGGTGCGCATGCGCTTGCCCTCTATTGAACGACGTAAATAGTCTCACATTGGTAGCCAGTCGATCGAGCAAAACAAGGCATAGTGTAGGTGAAGAAGCATTGTCCACTCATATAATATGTTCAGTTTTCAGTTTAAATTCCCCCACGCACAATTTAAATTTAGGTCAGATGTTCTTCTGGTTGGGATTACTCAGGCTTCTAGGAGTTTGGTTCTTATTCGTCTGTGGGAGGGGGAGGGGAGGGGTGGAATAAAAAGCTGATATGAAAATGAGATCCGGTTAATGTTTGGTGCTCTGTCTATAAATAATACTCTTAAGTGAGTGACTCATTGGCGAAAGAACACTTCTTTCTTAATCGTTAATCGAGTCAGCTAAACCAGAAATGGTGAGTGCTCTTAAGAGAAGTATTTTCCTGAGATTCGTTGAAAATCGTTTGCTTTGCTTTGTAATTTTGTTTCATTAATAGAAAAAAAAGCCTGGCGACTTTTAATTTAAGCATTACTCATCGATATTGATCGGTAAATAAAGGAGGTAGGATAACAGCTGCTTATTTTAAACTTGTTTTATATCGGGATTGGTTGGCAACGGTGTTGTCTTTCTCTTTGATATATCTTTGGGATACTTGATTCCTTTCAATTCGTTTATTCCATTTCGTTCCTCTTTCATTCCTTCTTTTCCTCCTTTTATATTTTCAGTATTTTTTAAATTTTTCGCTTGTTACCATATTCAATTTTATCATTATTATTATCATTATTATTCCTATTATCTAATTTTAAATTATATAAATTTTATAAATTTATAATTTAAATATTTTATAAATTTCAAATATTTGAAAAAAGATTTTTTTCAGGTAAATAATCGGGTTGAAATTAATTTTTATTGAAAAATATGAATAAAAAATGTGCAAGAAGTGAATGTGGTAAAACTGTTTATCCAATTGAAGAACTGAAATGTTTGGATAAGGTTTTTTTTTTAAATTTATTGATAATAAATAGTAGATAATGTTCTTTTTATCAAATACCGCATCCGCCAGATGCAAGCAGACTTTACGTGATATTTTCTTTTTCGATTTCCCTTATTCTTTATGTCATCTAAATGCAAACATACTTTTTTCTGATAGAAACTATAATAAAATAGCGATAGCGATAAGAATCAGAAAAAAATAAAGGGCAATAAGTTTTTTGAGATCATCGGCAAAATTATTTTATATAATAAAGAGAAATGTGGTGAATTGAAAACTAATTATTAAATTCTTTAACAAAATTGAGTGAAAAAGAATTAGAAAATGACTCAATGGCTTGTTGCTTCCATTTCGGAATGCTTATGTTAAAGTTCTATTCCTGGTAAGAGCAAACCTGTCTTTCAAAAATTCGCATGCTGCTGATGACTCATGTATGCCACTGAATGAAAAGCAAAATTTGGTCCAACAAGCCAGCGGAATGAACAAAGTCGAAAAATGATGAATGCTCTTGGAAAAAAAAGAAAAAATTAGAGAATATTTTTATAATGAAATTTTTTGTGATTCTACTTCTTTATTCATTAATCATTTTTAATTTTTTAGGTGTGGCATAAACAGTGTTTTAAGTGTACAGTTTGTGGAATGACACTCAATATGAAGAATTACAAAGGATATGATAAAATGCCTTACTGCGAACCGTTGGTTTCTTTTCATCCTTTTAAATTTTTTTCTATATTTGTACTAATACTAATGAATTTGGCCGTTCATTTTTAATGGATTTTAAAGTCGTTACTCGTCTACTTAATCTAATAAGTAATAAATTCTGATAAGTACCAATGGTAAGTGGTTTTTCCAAGTGTTGATATTTTCTAATATTCCAGCTTTTTTTTCCATTTTTAAAGTCTTATTTTAAAGCTATTATAAGATTTTAAGTCATTATCCAAAAACAGTTGCATCGGTAGTCGTTGATACTCCAGAAATGAGAAGATTGGCTGAAAATACGAGGTTACAAAGTCAGGTAAACTCTTTCTATTATTATTTATGTAACAAATTCTAAAAGTTCAAAAACTTTTATTATTTCCTAAATTTTCATTTACTTTTCTTAATTTTTCTTTCGTTTAGTGAAAAATTATAGGTTTAACAAATTGTAAATCCTTTCAATTTATATAGAAGATGAGGGAATCGAGGATTGGTTGAGAAGAATGGCCTTATTAAATCAATTTTATCTTATTTGATGCAGAAAATACGTTAAATTATTTACATTTTTTTCCGATTCTTTTAAAATCCAATTTTAAACAGGTAAAGTATCACGAAGAATTTGAAAAATCAAAGGGTCAAAAGATAGAGGTCGCTGATGATCCTGAAGTTGCGAGACATTTGCGTAATACAAAAGTGCAATCTCAGGTTTTTTTTTCATTTTTTTGAAAGTTTGAAAGTTTCGAAATATCCTTATAATATTTAAAATATTAGTATTATAAAATTATTTTATAAAATTAGTATTTTTGTTGTCATTTTAATTGTTTTTAATTGTTTTTAATTTTGAACTTATAAATTTTCGAAAATTGAAATAACGAAAAATTTAATACTTATCAATCACCTTATTAGGAATTTTTGCCAGATTTTACCAAAATTTTTGTCCAGTCTGAAAAATTATAATTTTTTGAAAAAATAAGGTTGCTTATCATGGTGAGTCGGAAAAGAAGAAACATCAGGATGAAATACGACCATCACCTCAACAGACTACGCCAAATGCTCAAAGTGAGTTATATCCTGTTAAAATCACTCATTTCCCTAATTTCTAGTAATTTTTTTTATAAAATAATTGCATAGTTGTTTTATAACTTCATTCAGATATTCTCCATTAAATCTACTTCATTTTTTACTTTTAATTTTTAATTATAATTTGAATATTGAGTTTAATTTTTAATAATAATTTGTTTATTAGCAACTGCTTTAGTAATTTCAAGATTTTTTAATGTTATTGCTTATTTTTTTATGATAAAATTTGTTTTTATTAAAAATATTTATATTCAGTAATTTCATTCGGGTCGTATAATAACAGTATTAATATTTTTTAATGAATTTATTTATTTCAAAAAAATAAGTCGTATAATTTCTATTGGGTTCATATAAATAAACACATTTTTTTAAAATAATTAATCATTTTATAAAAATGTTATTTCTATTTTAATATATTTTTCATGATATTGGCTCTTTTTTAAAGAAATTTGATTGTTAGTTCACATATTGTTCAATTATTTTCGTCGCATAGTTCATATCAATATTTATTTTGATTATTATTTTCGCCAGTAGGTTTGCTAGAAAACAGATTTTTTGTAATATTGAATGACTAATAAAATTTCTTATGGGTTTTAAATATTTTATTACTTTTAATGCAACCATATAAATAAGCAAAGAAAAAATGAGAGATATTTGATAAATATTTAGTAATCATATAATCATTATTTCTTTTTTTTCTTTTGTTTTGCCGTAATTAAGGAAAGTTAGCGATGGAATATTTGATTTTTTTGTTTTACATGGTGTTTCCTACTAATATAAAATCTCGAAGAATAGAATTTTTTATTTAGAAGTCATAATTTTTCTATTGTTCTTTGTTTTGGAGGATTCTTAAAATTTTAATTTGCATGGAAGTTAATATTTAATAAAAAAAATTATATATTACGTGTCATCATTGTTTGAATAACTTAACATGTAATTTTTTTAGTTCGTTTTTGACGCTTTTGGAATTTTGCTGTGTTTGTTCTATTTTTCTTTTTTTTTTTTATGTCTTGAACCTTTTATATTTTCATGAAAGAGTTAAAGCATTAGTGCTATAATATTTAGAATTTCATAATTTTTATAATTTGATAAAATGGCTAAGTGGGTTCTTGCTCAATTAGGAGCGCCGATGCTGAGACTCGATTCCCCACAGGAGTAAAATTGTACAAAAATCCGGGTGATGCTGGCGACTCACCTGTATTTCTATCGCCAAGGGAGAAGCCAGCCAGTGGAGCGAGTTAAACCAGTAATGGTGAGGACTCTTTAAAAAAAAAAGTTCAATTTATAATAATTAATAAAGCCGTCTGAAATTCAGAATCTATTTTAGTTCGCTTTCACTTTTAGAATATATCACAACACTTTATTTTCTTCCTCATATTTATGGTGGAATTTTAAGAATAACTTTATTTTATGAAATATAAAAGTAGCATTTATATATATATATATACAAAGCAAATAAATTAATCATCGAATTTGCTGGAGATAACATTTTCTTCTTACCGTAATAAAATTTAGTGGAAAGCGAGAAAGCAATGAATCAAATTACAGGATAAATACTCTTAAATGTGGTGAACATTTGTTTGTTATTTCAAATTCTAGGGATTTGGAATTGGATCAAAAATTTTGGAATTTTTTTTATCAAATTTGGAATTTGGAATTAGTGATTGTTCGTAAAAATTCCAAATAATTCGAAATGCCTAGATTTCTTCGATTTTTTTCTTTTTTTGAAGCTTATCTATTTATATTATAAAGAATTTTGGTTGTCATTCATTATCATCTTTTTTCTTATTTGTTATCATTCGTTTTATCGCTTGTTTTCTCTTTTCATCTCACTTCGTCTTGAATTAATTTATAATTTTTTAATAAAATATCTCATTGCTGATAAAAATTTATTGAGTATTGCATGTTAATTTTTCAGTGTTAAGTGGTAATACAAATAAATTTATAAACGAATCATCATTATCATATGCACCATCACAATCAACATCAAATAATAAATTAAATAATCAGCAATCAAATAGTCATCAGCAATTCAGTACAATAATTTATTCATCAGAACAGGGTGGACGAGGTATGCACGGTACTTATTATTCATTTTTCTTAATCGTGCATGTGTCTCGATTTCATGTCGGACATTCATTCATTATTTCTTCAATTTTTGCTTTTTTTTTGCTTGCTAGAAAGAATTGAAAAAGCATGATTTTAATAATTTATTAAATTTTATTCGTTTTGCTAACATTTTTCTATTTTGTATTTTTCTAAATTTTTTTGAAGATTCATGGATTTATGGACTTTCGTCATTTTTATCTGATTTTCTATTTTCTTTTTTCAATTTATTTTTATTTAAGCGAAAAAATGAGATTTTAAATAATGTTCAAGTATTTAGTAAAGTTACTTACAAAATTATTTATTTCCATTTTATTATAATTGTATTTGTAGTTGCTATGGTGGTCAAGTTATACATACTATTATACATACTCTTATACATAGTTATACATACTCTTTTTTATTGTGAATATTACTGATATAGTGTAGTGCAGAAGTGTCCAGCCTGCGGCCCAAAATGCTAGTAATATAACCCGTTTTGAGAGACCTGAAACCATTTTCTACCTAAATAAGTCAAAAAATTTGCTATGAAATAATAAATTTATCAACGAGATCAATTAACCCTTCGAGGCAGCTGAAGATTTACTGATAATTGCAGTTGTTTTATTTTTTGACTTGATTTTTTGGACCAAATATTAACTTATTTCATTAGTTTTCATAGAAAGTTTTTAATTTTTTTTTCATAGAAATAGGAATATGTATCTCATTAGTTGGTTTTTTCTTTTAATTTCATGGGAAATAGGTGAATTTATATTTTGTTCATTTTTTTCACTTTCTTTGCCTTAACCATACTTTTAGTGTGCTTTTTGTGAGGCCCAAGAATCTCTCTTTAATCATTGCGGCCGAGGAAGGCTAAAAGGTTGGACTCACCTGGTCTAATAATAATAATAATAGTATTTATTATCATTAGCACGACACGATTAGTGTATAAATTCACATTAATTTTCCCTACGTAATTACTTTTATTATTTTTTTATTATTTTTTATTACTAAATTATTATTAAATTATTAAGTTCCTTCGATGTTCTTTATTATCGAAATGTTTTTATTAGCAATTTCTTCTGTACAATTTTCTTATGTATATTCTGTATATAATTATTGTTTTATTGTTGCCTTAAATTAAAATAATTTTAATATTTTGATTATTTTGGCATTATTTTATTTTGAGAAATCTTTTCCTTTTTAGAATTTCTATATTTATTATAATTGTCTCTTTTATTTTTTTATTATTTTTATTGGCTCTTTAGTCTATTTTTGGTGTAATTGATTTTTTGTTTAAATTTAAATTATTCAAATTATTTAATATTTGAGGAATTATGTAATATTTGCTAAACAAATATAATAGCAATATTTCTATATCAATCAGATCAGATAAAATACAGTACTTTATTTTCTTAATAATTTTTCAGTGCCGATCCAACAACGACAAGTTGGAAGTATTGCTGATTACGATCCATTAAATGGTAACTGGGGAACTGTAGCATCTAGTAAAACTGCCGAAAAAATCGGTAAATTTCAATAAGAATACGATGGAATTTTCTTTCACTTAAAAACACCATCTAGTAAAAATCTAAAAATAATTTATATTTGGTTAGTTTTTTATAGAAAATGAAATTTAACAAATGAAAACATCAAATCATTTTATAGGTCAATTAAGTGGTGCAAATGCACAAACGACAAAAATAACAACGACGGGTAATCAGCAGAAAGAAAATAAAGGAGAGCAGAAAGTGAATAGCGCTGCTACAACAGTTGGAAAAAGTAATACAAAGGGTTTTGTCGTAAAGGCGATTTATGATTATACAGCAGCTGATAAAGATGAAGTTTGTTTTGTTTCTTGGTTACATTTTATTTTATTATTATTATCCATTTCTGCGCAGAATAGTGTGGTTGCTTTGAGCTTCATAATTTCAGTTTCCTAACTCTAATGATAGTGGTATATCATTAAAAATTTAGCTGCTGTTGGCATTGCAACTACACTTTTGTTACCAGATGATTTTCTGAAAAAATTTTTAACTATATTAATAGTTAATAGTTAGCTTAACTAGAACAAACGATGACCGCCAATTAACTAACTAATTAGAAAATTAACTAATGCTATTTGATTACTAATACTATTAGATTGTATTCTATTTTAAAAATGGAAAACATTCAATTCTGGTTCGACCGGACCACAAAGCACCAAAGTATTTATCCTTTAATAAGAATAAATCTGTCAAAAATAAACAATAAAGTCCATGTATTTGGTGGGAATTCACTCGTATCTTTAAATAATTTGTGTAAATAATGATATTGAAAATATTTTAAAAAAGGTATGGTAATTGAAAATTATTTTAGGTGACTTTTGTCGAAGGCGATATAATAGTGAATTGTGAAAGTGTTGATGAAGGTTGGATGACAGGCACCGTTACAAGAACCAAGCAGTGGGGAATGTTGCCCGCAAATTATGTTGAAAGAATAAAACAGCCTACTGGATTGCATTATCTCAGCTGAGCTTTTTTTTATTAACGGTTGTTTTATCGACTTTTTATAAATTTTCAAATGGAGCATATGTCCGCTTTTCGAAATTTTTAAATTTTTTGATCGAACATTTTTCGAATAGATATTTTAGGTATGTATTTATATTTAACATATATTTTATGATTTTCAGAAATGGAAATATTTTTACCAACATTTTTTCAGGTAAAAAGAAATATTAGCATTTTGCAAGTAGTGATAGAAATAAATTTGATATTTAAATTTTGATATGAAGCAGATTTGAACCATAAAATCATCATTGAAGATATTGTCTACAAGAAAAAATTATATTTCTCGATATTTTATCAATGTTTATGACAAGATTAGAAAAAATTTTAAATGTTTATTTTGCATTTTACATTACTTAATGGTCCATAAAATGCAATCATTTTGCTTAGAATTTTTTATTAATTTTTGCGAAATTTTTCATAATTTTTGGTTTTTTTCTCATGAAAAAAGTCCATATAGAATTCTAACCTATAAATTATAATTTCATTTGTTTCATCTCTATTTTTTCTACCCTTCAAGAAAGAAATTTCCCGGTTTAATCAAATAATTCATATCTTTCAATTTTCAAATAATTTTATTTTCGATATTGTCGACATTTGTGCCTTATTTTCTTTCTTTTCTTTCATTTCTTTTTTATTATATTTTTTAAAATGAAATTTATGAATAAATAAGTTTCTAAATTTAAATTTGCACTAAATAGACTTCATTTAGTTTTCAATATTCAAACGTAGATCTGCCAAAAAATTAGATTTGTTGTTGAAACTTCTGTTTTTAAGCGATTATGGCCAAGGGGTAGTGGTGCGCTAAATGCAGGGTATCTCAGCATGCACTATACCTCCTATCCATCATTTGGTGTATGGTGCGGATTTAAATGCAAATCTGTTCGCTGGTTAGGGCAGTGTTATTTGTCGTGCACAATGTGAATTGATGTCTTTTATCCTGTGATGCATTTTATTCTAAAAGGCTTCGTTGTCGACATAATGGAAAAAATTTGCCGTAACAAGCTTTCACGATTTCTAGTTAGGATCGCTAGCTCGAGCCAGACACTGCCGACGGATTACTTGGCAATAGATACTGGTAAGTGCCATCCTCATTTTTGAAACGAGGTAGGTTTGCTCTTGCATGAATATGTGAAAATATTTGAGGGGATAATAGTAGTGAGGGCCTGGATTTGTCATTTTACGAGTATTGGATAAATAGAATTCGAAGCACTATATATCTCGAATTTTTATCGAGCAGAAATTTCATCTGCGAGCTATAACGTCGTTGCGCAAGCTATATCCTAGCAATTTTTTGCCTCGTCCATATCATTATTTTTAGACCTAAAAATTTTCCACTGCATTGCTGTGTCTCCATTCAGTCTTTTTAGCTGCAAGTACCACATATTGCTAGGGCGACGTGTTGTCATATTCGACTTGTATCATCATAAATCTGGAATTAAGAAAAAGATTTAATTCACTCATTATAATAATAGAATAATTGGTTGTCGTCTGAGCTCTCCGGATTAAACGAATCTTACTCCTTATTAATATTTAAATTATTATTTTTAGACATTGCATTATTGGCCAAAATTCCATAATTCCCAATAAAGCAGGTGAAGGAGCTCATAGCGCTTTATTTGCCAAGAAGATAACGCTCAGTAGTATGTCGGTAGTTTTCCGAGGGACACACAGTTAGTAAGTTTTTCAGTATAGATCGAGTTTTAATGAAAAACAAGTTGAAATTGGTGTTGTGCCTGAGGGTTCTTTAAAGCTTTTCAATAGTACCAAAGAATCTTTTTTATCATTAGTTACTATCAGCAATAGCAAGGAAGTCGCTACTTTTAGGTATTTAGGAAGTCGCTACTTTTAGGTATTTTCTTGAGGAACTGAATTGAAAACTTTGAATTTCTAAGAAACTCATTTGCAAATTTTCGGAAATCAACTGAAATTTCATTTCGAATAGTTTCATAAATTTATATAAATTCAGATCGGTCGTTTTGCTCATTAGAAGATTATTCGGCGAACTGCGAAAATATTTATTTGACGAGTCGGCGATTTTGAAAATATTAAATTACCAACAGGAATATTGAAAGGATTAAGGAATTAAGGATTTTGTTTATTACGAGGAGTCCGGAGAGAATTCGCTGCTCGTCAGCCAAAACACTCGGCAACAGAGAAAATATTTACTTCGTATGAGGAGTGTGGAATTTCGAAAATATTGGTTTATTGGCGTAATTCAACAAATTCTATTAAATTACTTATTTTTAAGAAAAAAAAATTAAAGGTGGAAATTCTGCAAATTAAATGTGTTTTTAATAAAATTTTGCAATTTATTCTGCACCGAGTTGCTGCGACTGGGAAGGAAGTTTGAGTTGGGGAAGCGCAAATGTGGGGAAATGAAGCGCTTCTCGCCTTCTCTTGGTGATTTTTTTAAAAAAAGTTTTCACCATTATTTACTGATTATTTACCATTATTCAAATCGAAATGATAAGTTTTGGCCTCAGTTAAAATTTTTGTATTACCGAATCTAAGGGTAATTTCCAAAAGTGTCCAATGTTTGTTGACAGTGCTCGAGGCTGATTCAATAACGATTTTCTTTAATCACCGTTAAAGCCATTATCGATAAACGGTTTTCTTTGCTTAACTGATAAATTACATAACATTATAAGGTTATTTAATGATAGTCGCCGTTAGTTGCCATCGAAATGGGTTCACTCGAATATAAGCGTTTAAGCTCTATGTTGCCTTATAATTTTGGATTGGATGGAATTCGCTAAAAAATGAACCACTTAGAATCGGCAATAAATCATTTTTATGACATTACGTGTATGGCTGACTTTGCGCTTTTTTTTTCACATGGTATACGTCAAAGGTGAAACATAAACGTAAACGTAAGCGTAAATGTAAACGTCTAATCTTTTTTCGAATTATTATTCATAAATGAAGAAATTTCCAATTCAGTTTTAAATTATTTTCGAAAAATCTTTGAAGAAAGCACACCAAAAAGCTGTTCAAATTTTAAACTGTTTTCATTTTCTTCATCCATTTTCACTTTTTCCAAAAATAAATAATGAATTACATTGGAGAATTATGAATTTTTCTCTCGAAATTTAGCCATCGATTCAGCTTAAATTCGTTGAAATGGAAAATTTTAGAAATTTCCACGTGTTCCACAAATTTCCATTCGTTCCACAAAAAATCTGCAATTATAAGTGAACCAAATGTGAAACTTTATCAGCGAATTCAGTTTCCATGGAAATTTCGTGTCGAAAAGAAATTCTGTGAGGAGATTTCCATTATTTTATAGTTTTAGTTCCTTTTATTAACTGATTTATAATATAACTGATTTTAATGGAACGTGCATTTGCTTAATCTTTGAAAAGTTTCTTATTCAGCGAATGGCTTAAAAATTTTTAAAAATACACTTGGAGCGTCTTTTTTGAAAAACCAATGGAATGTGAAATATTTTATTGCCGAAATGGAGCACCAAAGTTATGCTGAAAGATACTGTAAATGTTTATTTATTATTAAACTCTCATCACAATATTCACCATTCACCAGAAAGGATGAGGAGATAAAAAAATTTGGGCAAAATTTTCAAAGTTTCGTCACTGAGCGAGAATTCGATATAGAAAAGATTTGTTGGCAAAAGTGGAACGAAATGAAAAAAATAAAAAAGGGGTTCATAAATAAAAAAAAGATGCAAATTATATAATCTTTATTTTATACAAATTATTTTTTTCTCGCACATTTGATTTTTGGTCATTTAATGGAGACAAATTTTTATTATTTATTTATTGTAAAATTATTTATTTTTATAAATTTGTATAAATTGATTATTTTGATGATTATTGTCGATTTTCTTGGCAATCAATCAATGATGATAAAGAAAAATTTTCGTTGAAAAATTCATCGATGCACCACAATTTCATCCAAACGAATTTTCAGCAAAAAGGAATTTGAAGGGATAAAGGAAAACATAAAGAAAAAAATGAGAAAAATTGGTGCTAATCGATGTCATTTCATTCGTGAATATAAAAGTAATGTATAAATGAACGCAATTGAATCAAACTTATCACAGATAAGCAGAGAGTATTAAGTATTAATGTAATGTAATGTAAAGAAAATACCACATAATTCACCACTTCATTCTGCAGAATTCCAAATAAAAGAGTTACCAGTTTCATTTCGTGAGAAATTAATAAGCCAACCTGGTTAAATAACGCATCATTATTGAACAAATTATCAAAGGCATCATTAATGAAAGAAAAGCCAAATGGAAAATAGAGCGACAGAATAGCGATGAATCGAGGTGTAAGGCGACATATAAGCGACAACAGAATTGCGACGAGTTCATTTTATAACTCCCAAAATTTCATCTTTTCTTAGATTTTTAATAATTTTTCAAATTTTATAATTGAAAAATAGATGAATTTATGAAATAAATTCCAATAATTAATAATAAATCAATTTAATTTTCATTTCATTTCAGCCATTTTTTTAATGTTTTTTAAAAGTTATGCAAATTTCGCCATTCATCTTTCATTCATCTTCATTTGCCTTATCGTATTAAAATTAAAATAGTTTAACAGAAAATTTTCCCGAAGCATTATTAGTCGCATCAAATAAACGCCATTCAAATAGAGCGATACAATAGCGACAAAACGACATATCAGCGACAATAGAAATATGTCAAGCAAGTTTATCTCCCTTTCTAAAAGTTTTCAGTTATTTTTGAAATTTTATAAATTATAAAAAACCATTTGCAACAATAACTAACGAATCAATTATTATTATTTATAATCGATTAACATAATTTTTTTTGCATTTCAGCCGTTCATCCAATTTTTTTTAAAAATTTATAAAAAAAATTATAAAAAAATTTTTTGCACTCTTTTTCTGTTGATTCTATGCAAATAGTTTATCAAAACCTATGTGACAAAACACGTTATTCGTGGATAAAATTTTATACGCTTTAAATTTATTGTAGATTGCATTTTCGGCGATACAATGCGCTTGCAGCACGCTTATCAGTATTCACCTTATTCCTCCAGGAAAAATACGTGATCTTCGAAAAGTAGTGGAAATATTCAAAATAGAAAATATTCATAGTGCATTTACTTTATTCACTGAAAAAAAAACAAAGGTGTTTTGAAAAAAAATTGCCAATAAATGTATAAAATTGCTGAGGAAAAAAACCCTCGAAACCCTAAAATGTTATGCATTTCATTTTAATTTAATTTTTAAAAACTAAGTCGATAAATTTGTCGAAATTCTTTCATTTATGCCAGGTTTCCTAATCTTTTTTGTGTGTCAGTCGAATCTTGCCTTGTCTATAACATCTATAACATTATTCTTATATTCTTTGTTACTTTGCAAATTCTAGCCAATTCTTATCCAGAAATGGTTCATAAAAGTGCGAATGGATTGGATTAGAGTTCCAAGTCCAGTGAAATATTTCAATCCAATGAACCAGAGATTAATAAAAATTAATTCAAGCAAACGAAGGAGACTTATTAAAGAAATTAATAAGTGAAGAAAAAGTCTCAAATTTCTTACTTGCGCTATCTTATTTGAATTTTTTTCATAATTTTTCTCATTTACATTTCCCTAATTTTCTTTGTACGAGAGTTTTGTTGTTTTATCATTTTTGATACTTATAAACCTAAAATTTTTTTCAAGATCGACAGTGCTTCTGAGTTAGCGAAATTGAAAGAATGGCCAGTTGAAACATAAACGATTTAATTGGTAGAAAATAATTTTAAACGCAAATTTAGGCGACATTCTCTTTATCAGTCGAAAATCTGTCAGATGCAAAGGGTACTCATGAAGGAATCTCTGATAACAATTTTTGTTTATCAGAATGGGAATACTATAAAGAAAAAGTTTTCTGCAGAGAGGCTATGGAAATTGTTGTTCAATTAAGAAAATTGCCTCCCACTACTCATATCTTTGAGACGTTCAACGTTGTTGATGTTCCCATTGTGAAGGTAATTTTTAGCATTAAATATTTTTTTCAATTAAAATTTGCATGAAACTTTATATACATTCGCTTTCTCATCCACTGAAGATCGAAATTTCTTCCTTTTTAACTATTTTATACATTTGCATTTTCATTATAAACCAAATTTTAGGGCAATATTATGCGATTTAGTTTACAAGGCTTTTTTCGCGATGCATCCATTAATATAAAAAATTCATTAACTGATGCATCTTTATCAGTACTTCCGCGATACTTCTGCCGCGAATTCGTCCTTATCGATAAGGGTTGTGGGTGAGTATTTATTCATTGATTGTTGATTGCAGAATTATTTATATTTGGTGATTTATTTTCTATGATTAAAAAATTAAAATTAAAAATCTCTATTAAAAAATTAAATAATAAATATACTTGAATTTTCAGAAAAATTGCAATCATCAATGACACATTATTCATCGCTATTGGCTCTTCCAAACGATTGGAAGATTATAAAGGCATTTTAAGAAATATGATTGAAGAAAGAAGAAGAAATTATGCGGAAGAAGAAGTACAAAGCAGGATGGAAGCAAATATTTCCCCGACCCCAACGTTACCTGAATTAACGCCTAAAGAATTGGCTTTAGCTGGTTATGAAAGTATGCAGAAACTCTTGATTGAATTGTTTTCACAACAAAGCCAAATGAAACCCGAATGGTCCCGCAAATGCCTTATGGATCTCAATTGGGACTGCGAGGTTTTTTCTCATGCTTGCATTTCTAGAATAATAAGAATTTCAGATTTTTGTGTTTCGTCATTTTGCTGTAATTCTAGGAAGCCTATAAAGCATTTCTGGCGCTGCGCGATAAAATACCTTCTGAAGCTTTTCAATAATCTCAACGCAATCATATTAATCGAAAAGAATTTTACCAAATTTACCAAATTTTTACCAAAATTTGAAATTTTTTCACCCTTGAAATATGTTTGAAAATGGTTGCCTAATTTTTCCTATTTATTACATATTTTCTCGGCTTTGTTTCGCCATTTTCAGTCATTCATTTTTGATTTTATCATTCATTTTATCATTCATTTGCACGGGTGGTTTTAGTTGAATTATCATTTCTGCTTGTATTTTATTATTTCCTTTTATTGTATTCGATTATCATTCAACCTATTTTTTTTAATCCTTAATTGCTTTTTTTTAATTTGTAGTCTTTTAGCTTGAAATGTTTGAAACTTTTCATTTCAAATGTTTTCTTTCAAAATAAAATTCTTATTATTTATCGAAGAATGTTACAAGAATACTTTTATAAATTCGGTAATAATAGTGCAACTAATAAATATTCCATCAGCAAGAAAAAATCTAAGTTGTCAAAGTGTCAAATGCCATGGCTGGTATTAGGAAAAAATATATATATAAATATATATATATATAAATATATATTGTAATATAGCAAAAAAAAGTAAAATGGCTCAGTTTAGAGTGCTGATGTTCCCACTTCCTATTTACCCCCAGTAGTAGAAATCCCGTCGAAAAATACAGGTGATATTGACGAGTCACCTGTACTTCTATCGCCAATAGACTCTCTGGCATATTTGCCTGTTGTGAAATTTCGCGATTCTATCAAAAGATATTTTGTATGTATTTTTAATCTAATATAACAAGTAATCATACGATAAAAACATGGAAAACCAAGTAATCTGCTTACTATTACGACAAAATGCAAAAATTGAAGAACATTAGTTAGAAATGGTAGTTTGCGAAAATCCTAAGAAGTTTTCCATTTTCTCATTTCTTATTTTGTTCGATATATGTGAAAAGTTTCTTAATGGAACAAACTTTCTTCACGCAAAAATCAAAGCAATTTGAAATTGCGAGCAAATTTTCTAAGACTCTAACACCTTCAATTATTGCAACGATAAAAGTATTGTACGTTAAATTTTAACGGCAGCTGCTCCACTGCCAATTTTCCTACTGCCGCCACTGCTTATTTACTGTTGTAAAAAGATTGATTGCGCAAAGGAGATTTGCCATTCATATTTATTTACAGCTTGCACCATATATTAGTTAGAGTGGACTATAAGTGGATCTTTTGCACCAAAAAAAATAAAAATAACTGCTTTGAAGATCATTAAGATCGAACTATTTTTATATGATTAATATAACTGCGCAGAAGTTTAATCTGAAATAAAGCGAATTTCCACTTTATTATTCTTCTGCGATTATTTCTGCGATAAAACATATTTGCAGAGTTTTAATTGTTTTATTATTTCATTTTAATCCTTAAATTTTGAATCACGAAAAAAAAACAATTCTTTACACTAAAAGACTATTAAAACATTTCGTTTCATTAAATAGCAACATTTTACTATTAACGAATACAAGCATTACAAGTAAGCGGACAATATCTGCTGAGCACTTCTCTATATCTCGGATTGTAGCAGAAAGGTGCATATTGAAAGCAATTAGTTCTGTTATCTATGCATCTATTTGCGGAGACTGCTGGTGTGCTCGATGCTGCAATTAATGCTTTTAATTTAATAAGTAATTATGTAATAATAAGTAAAGTAAAGCAATGTAGTAAGCAATAAATAATTAGTAATTTTTCGATACAAAGTCTGTAGAAATTTCATAGTTTGAGGGAAAATTTTTGCCAAGAAATGGAAATTTTTTTTTTCTTTTGGTGGTAGAACAGGCGCATTCTCACTTGAATTACGTTTACATTCCCGCTAGAAGAAGGGCCTAAACCTTAGTTATGATAATATATACCCTTCTTCTTCTGTATTCCTAAAGTGATCCGGTGGAAATCAAGAAAGTTCCACAGTCATTTAGACAGCTATTTAAAGATTCTTCCAGTACGGGTTTACCTGGCAAGCATGTCGTTAAATTGCATGATTTCATGCAACTTTGGGCTATTCTTGCATTCGTGCATAAATCTTGGGATACCCTCACAATATTACAAATTTCACTAGTATCTGGACATTGTCCAAGAGCTCCTGGTTGATCGCACAGGCCACAAGTTCTTGGGCATCTTCGAAGAACTATTTGATATAAATTTGGATGTTTACAGTGAGTCACAAAATCCAGTTCTACGCAAGTCGCCTCAGCAACAGGGTCTAAACAACAATTTTCAAATAGAAAAACTTTCTCTGATTTCGGATAAAAATGAATGAATACAACTTCAAATTTCATCGATCATTACTTTTACAATATTCTTTATAACAAGAAAAATATAGCAAGAAAAAAGTAAAAGTGAATTTCTTTCATAAATTGTAAACTGAGAAGTAAACTTCAAATTAGCGATTAAAATGAAATAATTTTTGAATAATTATTATAAAAAATAAATGTTATATTTTTCTAAAATATAAAAAAGTTAGATCCAAAATAAATGGATAGAACGGAATTTTATCGATATGCCAGGCTAACCCTTTTCGTCGTACATCCGCTGGAATATTCTTTTTCGTTGACCCCACAGGACATTTATTCCCGAAGATTTGATATCATGCGAATTAAGAAAAAAATAATGTTTTTAGATGGCAACTAATCTTGTTTTTGCTAAAAATTTGCTGGATCTCCGTTCATGACAATTTTGATGCATAGGTAGCGAAATATTTTTGCACGTTCACTTAGTTGAAGATAAATTTTAATGTTGCTTTGGTACTTTAACTATTAGAAAACCTTTTATTTCAATTGCAGTTGTATGGAAAATTATACTACCATATTAAAATACCAACAACAATTGGGGCTGCCTTTCACTGGCACAGCAATTCTCTTATCAGTGGATTCCTGTTGGAAACCCGCCATTTACACTAACTTCTAGTTTATTTGCATTTCGTTATTGCCTTCTTAATTTCTGACCTTTTCGAAATTTTCTTTAAAAAATAACCATTATTGCAACTGAACTGTGGTGTTAAACAACATTTCGCACACGAACTTGGGCACTGCGAAACAGTTATTGCAGTGAAAGATGCATTCTTGCATTCTTTGTTCACTTTGTAGCCTCTCGCGCTAAAATATTATTGACATAAATATCATCGAATTGGATGAACATGAACATTTATAAGGATGATTTCGGATGGAAAATGCACATACGGATCTAGATTTTCTGTATAAGTGGCTGGCAATTTCGCAAATAAAGCATTGCACGTGTCGGGAGTTAAATCTTGGCAGTATTCCGGTCGAATGGTTGGACGCTTAGGTGGCGCATCAGTTGCGCAGTCCACGATTTCCTCATCACCCGCATGATTCCCGGACAAATAAAGAATGAATAGAAAGATGAAAAACATTTCTATCAATGGAAAATAATCGTCCATGGCAGCTTTTTATGCCAAAAAATTATGTGGGAGTTTTGATTGATACAAATTTATTCAGCTTACTTAGTACTAGATGAATATGTTTAGCGAATAAATTTGTGGATTTCAATAGCCTCCACAATGAAAACGCAAAGCAAACGTTAATTTCTATTCAAAAATTTTAATTATAGGCGATTCCTTACTCCTTCTCCTTCCTTCTAATTTTTCGTGGCTACATGTGGCTATTTTCGCAAATAACCCATTTTTTTAATTCAGTAATTCAGTTAGGGAGCACTCTTATGCTGCTCACCGTCTCTAATATTTCTCCATCGAAAATTCGATTCTAAATCATTTATGTCGTAGAATATTTGGCAAGAATTCGTTTTATCCACTCCAGATCTTTCTTAATGGAATAGTTCACGTTTGACCGATTCTTTCGAATATTGACAGAAGCCTCCTTTGTAAAAGGGTAAATTGAGTATAGAAATTCAGGCAAAACTCCAACGCCCTTTTACTTCATTTCACTTTTACCTTTGACCACATTACCTTTTTTTGAATTTTTTTTCAACCAGCAGAAAAGTTTTTAATGGTAAAAGCTGAATATTCAAAAAGAATCTAAATAGAACAAAATTTTCACCTTCTTCTTCTTCTAACAGCTCTTATCATTACTGGTTAGGCTAACTCCAATGACTACAAGGGCAAGACGATTCCAAGCGGCGCGGTCTGATGCCATCGTCGACAGTAATGAACGGACAGTAATGATCGAACGGATCACGGCAATATAGATGCGGACTTTCGTTTTTATGGTGATTTCACGACGATTCCATAAAGGTTTCGTCAACCGGAAGAACGCATTTCTAGCTGCCTTGATCCGAGTTATAATATCATCTTTTGCCTGTCCATTTGGTATTAGAGTGGACCCAAGGTAAATTTTCACCACTTAATAGAAATTGAAATTGCTATTCCACAAACATTTAAAAAATTATTCTTCAAATATCCTCAAAAAAACCTTTCCAAAAAGCTGTTTAAATTCTTTCTATTTTATGTTTTTTTCGAAAATATAATTATAAAACTTTTTTTAAAATTTAAGCATCAAATATCAAAATTAATTGGCTGTAAATTTTAAATATGTGAACAATCCGCATAATTCGACGAAAAATGCAATCGAGAGGCATCTCG